CGAATACCCTTTCATTTGATACCTCACTCGTTAAAATCAGTGAATATAAAAGTTTTGATCATTTTTTACAAAAAACTAAGGCTATAGCCTTGATTCAATTTCGAAGAAAAAAAGTTTTATTTTTCGATTGCTATGAAAATTCGTATTTGAGGGTTCTTAGACGTTCTAAATACAAATCTCAACTCTGTTTCTCAATAGAAAAATGTCTGAGCTATTTGGAAATATAAATTTGCATATTTCTCTCATAACTTCTACCGCTGAACTTCCGGGAAGAAGTGACTATGGTTCATCACTTCTCCTCCGAATACCCTTTCATTTGATACCTCACTCGTTAAAATCAGTGAATATAAAAGTTTTGATCATTTTTCACAAAAACCTAAGGCTATAGCCTTGATTCAATTTCGAAGAAAAAAAGTTTTATTTTTCGATTGCTATGAAAATTCGTATTTGAGGGTTCTTAGACGTTCTAAATAGAAATCTCAACTCTGTTTCTCAATAGAAAAATGTCTGAGCTATTTGGAAATAAAAATTTGCATATTTCTCTCATAACTTCTACTGCTGAACTTCCGGGAAGAAGTGACTATGGTTCATCACTTCTCCTCCGAATACCCTTTCATTTGATACCTCACTCGTTAAAATCAGTGGATATAAAATTTTTGATCATTTTTTACAAAAAACTAAGGCTATATATAGCCTTGATTCAATTTCGAAGAAAAAAAGTTTTATTTTTCGATTGCTATGAAAATTCGTATTTGAGGGTTCTTAGACGTTCTAAATACAAATCTCAACTCTGTTTCTCAATAGAAAAATGTCTGAGCTATTTGGAAATAAAAATTTGAATATTTCTCTCATAACTTCTACATCTCATAATTCCTTTAATAAACATCGGTGTATATCAACATAAAATTGTATACTTTTTTATTTATTTGAAAATAAAATTTTTTTCCTTCATAAAATTTTCTTAAGGAATTTTGGGAGCATGTGACAATGAGTCGTCACTTCAGCGTGGAATTCTCTTGATTGATTCCCCTGGCAGGATTATATTCAATTTTTTGTGCCAGACTGATAAAATGAATATTAAGAATAGATAACGTAAGTTATCTACAGAATAACGCATCTTTCATGCTTTATTTGGAGTGCAAAAGGGCTTTTAAGCCCAATAAGTAACAAATATAATATTTCATAAATTAAGAAGATTTCAATTGGAATGTTTTTCAATTAAGTAAATATGCATTTAAAAAAAAAACTTTATTTTCAATAGTATATTAAATAATCACATTTCAACAAATCAAAATTAATCTAAATTTTCAATAAGAAACATATGAACACAACTATGTTATTTTTTTTTTGTTTTCTTTTTCTTTCCTATGTAATAATACTTACATAAACATTAACAGAGTTTAAAAATTTACAATAGTTTTAGTGTATATTTCAATTAAATCCTAAATCACAAATGTTACAGTCCCATCCAACAGAGGATTATAGAGAATTCACTTAATCGTTAGCATAAATATATACGTATATAAATATGATTCACTTAATTCTCACACTTGTAATAATTTCTTTCATTCAATATATTGTTATAAATCAACATAAAAAGATCACTTCACATTTCGCCATCTATTAATTCCACAGTTACATAATATTTTTGATAGAGGTTATATACAAAAACTAATCTACGCTATTTCTTGCGGCCAGTTTATCTCCATATGGTCCAGCCGTCTGGAGATCTCATTATAAACAAACAAACAAATAATTCCAGAAGTAACAGCTTCAAAACCTTTCCAAGATTTACTCAATTCTATAACAGACATATTAGAAAATATATCATTAGTGATAAAATTTAATAAACAACAGGATTTAAAAACAAAACAAAAAAAATTATAATGTATTGTTATTTAATAATTGCACAGAAAAATATACTTATGTAAAAAACCCATACACTTTATGATAGATCTTTTTTTTTTTAAGAAACAATATTAACAGTAATTCATCAGGAGCATTTAAAAACAGAATAAATTTTATTATTTTAATAAAAACCAACCTTTTTAAGATTTATACTATAATACCTAGCAAGTGAGATTTTAAAAATATATCTACAGGATGAATGCTACAGGCAAAGTTTAAATATAAATCACAAATACCTATGATAAAACACAAGTATATTCTCTCTGTTACAACAATTAAATAAAATTAAAACAAATAATAATATACAACTATTCATAATGCTTTCATTGAAAAAATCAGAGAGAGATATGGACTAAAATAACCTGTATCCAAAGAATATAAGTATATAAGACAGTTCTAACCAAGCATATCCTAGGCCAAAACCTATACCACATGTTATTTTAACATGCAATTTAAACAAAATTGTTATTTTATATAAATTTTATGTGACATACTAGCATTATGAAAAAACAAAAAAACTAAGAGTGTGTAGTTTTCAAAACCTAATATACCAACATGCCTAATTTGGACTGAAATGTTATAAAAAATGGTTGATGAAACAGAAATCGGGTGGGTATTCAAAGTGGTTATAAAAGTTTCTAAGGTTTTTGATACCTCAGAATGTGAAACACACTAGTCTAACCATATTTAATTTTCGAAAAGTAGACATTTCAAGTTTTTTTTAACAAACCTAAAAAATATTTTTAGATTAATCCTAATTTGTAATAATCTCATCTTATGTTTAATTCTGAAGAACCCTAATATTTTTTTCAACCATTCCGGAGAACATCTTCAGAGACTATAAAGAAGCTTCAGGAGAAGTAGTAACTCATTTTGTTTTATTGGAAGATCTCGTAAAGGAAGACAAAATATACTAGAAAAATTAAGTACAATGAAAACATCTGGAAGATATTTTAAAAAAAATCTTATATTACTTGGCTGGAATTTTAAACTAGGTCTATCAGTCACCAATATAACCATTTTAGAGAAAATTGGAACACTTTTTTGTGAATACACAATACTATGAAAAACCTGAATTTAAAAAAAAACATTCTTTTTTTTATGTTTTACACGAAAAAATTTAAAATCTTGCTGAGCAGGAATAAATAAGTAATAACTGATGCACTTTTTATAATACGTAAATGATATAAATATAACAAATTTAAGAACATCCAAAAAAGAAATGTTTTATTTAAATAAATATACATATGCAGTCTGTCAACTTATTTCTTCAGTAAAGTACAATAATTATTTTTATTTGTTTTTAACACAAAATCATCTAGTTTTAATATTTTATTTATATACTAACATGTACATTTTGCATGATGATTAATGTTCATTTTCACACCCTTCTAAAATAACAAATTGTTCTGAATACATACGATGTAAGAACAAAATTTGTTTTAAAAATAGTTAAAGACTGAATTGTTTGTTTTAGTAAATAAAAATTATTTTTAGTTCTGAATACTTCTAATGCAAAATTTAAAAGAATTAATTAACCCCTGTTAACTAATACTTTATTTCAAAACTAATTTAATCCAGTTCCAAACTAATTTAACCCATATATCATATTTTCTAAAGATTATTTTCGAGACTATTTTCATCTGTGATTGTTATCAGATAGTCTCTAGAACAGGGGGCCTCCAAACTTTTTGGCCTGCAGGCCACATTATGACTTCCGCTAAGTCCCAGAGGCTGTATTGTATTGAGCTTTTGATGAAACAAAATGTCTTGTTCTATAAATGAAACTTCAGTTGTGAAATGAGCTTTATAAGAGAAACAACGTATCCAATAAATGTTGCAGTAATCTCGCATTTGAGTGATTTACTAAATTTCATATTTTTTTAACTTTTATCTTTTAACCAGAGACTTTTGCAGCTCAGTGTGGAGTCAATTGCAGATCCGGCTTGCGGGCCGTAGTTTGGAGACCCCTGATTTAGAACCATGTCTGACCCTTGACTTGGCTAGTCCAAAAAAAAAAATTTAAATGGTACATACACACTGATTCAAAAATAAAAATATTAGAATAGAGTAAAAAATATTTGATAAACTAATGAATAGTTGAAATAATAATTGTTAGTTTAAAAGATGCTAACAACTAACTTGAGAGTTGGCGTAAATCCAATGCATGGTGTAAATAATATTAACCACCAATCTGAAGTAATTCAATTTTATTATAAAATTGAACACAAATATTTGAAAAAAAAAATCATATAAAACTGTAAAAAAAAAGTATTAATAGTTTCTTTTTAACTCTTTTATGAAGCATATTAAAGCATCAACGATTCTAATATCCGAAACATTGGCATTAATATATTGAAGGATATTGAAGGAATCAAATTTTTGGTGACCTTTGCCCAAAAATCATTTCAATAACAATATGGCACTGAACACAAAAAATATGACTAGAAATAAAATAATTTATTAAATATTTCATTTTTTTCTTTTGTTTCGAATACAAAAAAACAGCAATATAAAATAATTTCAATATAACCAATGTTAAATTTATTTATTTGACAACTGAGATAATATATCATCACCAGATAATATTAAAATAATATAGTATTCCATTATATTCAAAGTTATGATCAGTTGTTGGCTAGAACATAGAAAATTCTCAAAAGTTTTACTGTTGATTGGAAAATTTTCATAATATTAACTAACATCAGGAAAACAAATTAAAGAAGTAAATTTAATAGATATTAGTTCATAATTTATGTGAAACAAAAATTAAATAATTACGAAAATATATTATCTGAGATATGTGAAGATTTTATATAAATAAGTTTCATTTGTTAACACATGAACTGTCCCAAGTATAAAAACATTTCAGAATAGATGATTTAAATAATAATGAAATCCCTTAAACTTATTTTATCACAAACAATATCAAAGTTAAGAATATATTATTTCCAATATTAATACATTTTTATATATATATATATTTAAAAAATAAAACAAAAGTATACATAACAATAGAAAAATAATAATAATTAGTAAGGTATATAAATATAATTACTATTTACAGACTAGAATGCTTCAAACGATGGATTCTAGTCTGAGCAGCTGCTTGAGGAAGAGGAAGAGGAAGAGGAGCTTGCAGAAGAAGAATCGTCTTCGTTAGGTATTGCGAAAGATCTTCCAATCGTACCTATTTCAATAAAAATGGGCGCGCCTTCTCTCAAGTTCTGATTACCGATAAAACAGACAAACAAAAAAAAAAATATCAAAACTTAATTCATCACCAGTTAAACAAGTTAATCTAAAACTTGATGACAAGCAGAGGAGAAAAACTTATAAACAAATAAATAAATAATTTTAAATAAATAAGTAAATAAAAATAAAAATTAATAGAGCGACAGGATATATGACAACTGTAATATGACACGCAAACGTAAGGAAATCGGAAGGCTTGGAAAAACCACCTCAACAAGTTCCAATGACAACTATTCTCGAAATAATCAAATCTTCCGAAGTTTGTAACGGATGTAACGGAACTACGTAGATAAAACTGAATTAAATTAATTTTTTAAACAATCACTTTAAATTAAAATATTAACAGCTTAATATTACTTTTTTTTACTGATTTATTAAAGGGGCTAATTCTAATGTAAAACTTGTTTACTTGTAAAACCACTGATACGGTCACTCATTCTTAATTTGTCGATTATCATCAGATCAATAATACCAGCAGTCTCTGTTGAGAACGAGTCCATTAGTTTAAAACAGTAAATCAATTTATAACTATAATTATTTTTAAAAAGAACTTTGTTAAGACTTCTTCGCTTGTTCTAGTATCAAACTACAATATCAAACTAGCTAGTGTTATCATAACATCAGTGAATCTAACCACCTTGAGTTTTTCAAGGAAAATAAATTATCTGAGTCAAAAATAATTCTAATTTTATTTCACAAAAAAATGTAGATTAGTATAAAGTTTAATTATGAGATGCATAAGTAATAATTATATAATTTGTCAGCAAAAATATGGCTTAAAAAATAAAATAAAGAATAAATGAGTTGTTTTGTTTGTAATAGTACATACAAACCAAGGTTTCATCCAAAATTCATAATAGACCACCTTCAGAGCTAGATAACCCTAAATTAGCTATTGCGCTATGATAAATGTACCGGCAATAGATAATGTAATAGTAATAGACAGTTAACAATTAATTAATGATTAATAAGCTTTATATGCTCTATATAGAGTGCAAATATGAGTAGATTTGCAGCTAGAACACTTAGAAGAGTAATTTCTGAACCTCGCGTGATATCAAACCACAATAGACAATTGGTACGGTTTCTGTAAGCAGTTCTTTATTGGCTTTTCTTCTCCATGTGTTAGTATTCTGACCCCGAATCGCTCTGGTTATCGTGCGGAGGATTTTTCTCTCAAATCTTTCAATAATTTTTAAAATTATAATTTAAAATAATTATAATTAAAACTGGCTTTATTATAGCGTTGTATACCCTTAATTTAAGATTTTTCGGGATTTTAATACATCTGAATGGGAGAAGAAAGCTTTGGACAATATATAACTATTATAAATTGGATATACAGGGTGTTTCAGGGTTAAGTGGGCAAACTGAGGCCCTCAAATCAGAACTAAGGACCTCAAAACAAGAAAAAAATTTCCTCTGAAGGTATGTCCGCAAAAGTTTTGTTTAGGAGATATTCACACCTAAATATTTTCGTAGTTATTTATTATTTATGTTATAAGAAATAATTAAAACTTTTTTATTTGTTCTAACTATTTTAATAATTTAATTAAATGTAAAGATTAAATCCATATTAAATGTTAAAAGTGATTTCATTGAGCTTTAAGACAGGCTCGGCATCTTTCTTCAACAGCAGCAGTGGCAGAATGGCACTGGATATGTGTTATTGTTTCACAAGATTCAATAATCCTTCTTCGTAAGGAATTCAGGTAATGGACCAGACTCGCTCAATCATATCCCATATATCCCAACCAATGGCTTGGCCTGCACCCTCTCCAGACTTGACACCACTAGGTTTTTTTGTTTGGGCTGACATTAAACAAAAGATCTATGCAAGTCCGGTGAATGACCTTAATTCCTTACGAAGAAGCATAATTAAATCTTGTGAAACAATAACAGATATCCAGTGCCGTTCTGCTATTGCAGTTGTTAAAAAAAGATGTCGAGCCTATCTTAATGCTCAAGGAAATCACTTTGAACAACATTTAATATGAATGTTAATGTTAACATTTAATTAATAAATTAGTTGGAAAAAATAAATAGGTTTTATTTATTTCATATAATGTAAATAATTCATAACAATGAAAATCTTTAGGTGTGCATATCTCCTAGACAAAACGTTTGCGGACATACCTTAAGAGAAAATCTTACTTGTTTTGAGGTTAGTTCATTTTTGCAGTTTAGCCACTTAATCCTGAAACACCCTATACATTATAAATTATCATTATCACAGTCAATATATAGATCACTTCTAACTTTTACAAGCGAGCAGTAGTTAAAAAGGTTAACAGCATGATGGCTAAGTGTGTAAAGGATGGACCTTAGATATTCAGTTAAAAAATTTATGAAAAGTCGAAGAAAACAGATAAAAAATAACAATGAATTGAACTCTGTTGAGATAACCATAATTTTAATACGAGCCATAGGCGAAGGCCCCAGTAATAGACCAGTATTTTTTTGATTACTTTTAAATATGATTTTCAAATTCCCCATCCCTAACCTTTTTTTTAAAGTACTATCCTAGCAAACGATAGCAGACATAGATGGCATTATGAGGTGTATGTTGGTCAGCCTTCCGTGATATCGTACAAAATTTATTTTGGTTTCTAAAGTTGGGCAGCAACTTCTTAATTGAAGTATCTACTCAGTTATATTCACTAGACTTATTGACCACATTCCATACAATGATCATTTTTGAGAAACATAGAAGCTTCAATGTCGATGGCAGATATAATGAAGCCAGTTTCTAAATATAATAAAATAAAAACTACATATGATAAATATTTAAGAAATAGTTTAATAATTAACATATAAGCTTCTCACCTGATGCCTTTGAATGTAACGCATTTGGCGCCACCATCTAACTAGAGTATCATTTAATGAAACTCTGGAACCATTTGCGCGACAAAACCGCTTTTTTCTGTTTATTTTTACAGTCTGAAAAAAAAAAAAAGATAAAACTTTAATGAAAGTAATAAACTTGAATTATTTAATAGCTGTCAAATGTCAATAATTTGAACTTTGAACTAAGATTAGAATGTTATAAATATAGAACTGTCTAGTCAGCAATTATTTATCATTAATTTGATATAATTATTATTCGAATGGTTAATTGAACATTTTTAAGAGTTATTCTTAAGTAAATGACTGTAAAATGTTGGGATGCCACAGAAACTCAGCCCTCTTCACATTGGAGGAGTGGAGTTGCAGAAAGCGTCTTACTCCCTTGAGAAATAACTTTGAGTTATTTAAAATCCAAATAATAAAAGTTAGCTGGCAGGATGGCTGATAAAGCATTGATGGTATATATGTAGTCCAACAACATGATAACCTGAAGGTTACGAGTCCCCGTTCCGATGGCATTTACATTTAACGTTTTAATTCTCCTCGCTCTGAAAAAAAACTCTGTACAACCGAAAAGCAAGATAGGGGGAAAAAAAAGTTTTGAGAAAAAAATTTTGACCTATAGAAGTCAAAGTTTTTTATTCTTGGTTAAACCTTTTAACCATGTGTAATAATTGCCGTCTTAACGTCCATATACGCGAGCTTAAATAGACAACCATGTGAAAACCTCACGTATCCACTTTAACAACATAACATATGTTTTATTAATAAATAATCAAAATCAAAACATTTATTATGATTTATACAATTTAGACGAACAGACTTTTTTTTTTTTTTTTTTTTTTTTTTTTTTTATATTCTTCCCTACCTCGCCTTTTAGGCTATACAGGATTTTCCCGGGCCGGGGGTGAGGGCGGGGAAATTTAAAATCCCCTCCGGCACTGGGACGCGAACTCGTACTTTTTATATCATCTCAAATCTCTGTTATCCGGTTGCCAGGCAACTAGCGGTGCTGTTACACACGCTTTAGCCTATTCGGCCACCCCGCCCCCAGACGAACAGACTATAAAAAGCCCAATGAAATTTCGAAATAAACAATAGACTATCCTAAAAACATCTGACTCTCTCTCTCTCTCTCTTTCTTTACACTGCCTTAATGCCTTAATTCACTGACACATAAATTAACTCTTTTGTTTTGTGCACTACAATTCTTCAACACCGAGAAATTCTGTTGGGCAACAAAAATTGCCATTATTAGCCCATCATTGGTCTATCACCTCAATATTTTAGACTGCACAGGGATATCTCGTTTCTCAAAGTAATTCTTTATCTCTTTTCTTTTCAATTACTACAGGTAATTTTTTTTCTCTTTGTCAATTTCTGGTAATAATTTTAGCTAAGAAATTTTTTTTTTATTTATTCATGATATTTACAACTGTATTAAAAAATTAAATACATTAAGTAAATTTGATAACAGAAAATAATAACAAGAAATGACTTGTTGAGAAACTACCCACTGGTAGCACTCTAAAGTTAAGAAATATATACTTTAAATCCAAAATCCTTCGTAAAATCCTCAACGCTCCTTACTTTGTCACAAATAAAATCATCCATAAAGACCTTAATGTTCCATATGTTTCCGATTTGGCTCAATCCAGATACCTATCCTTCCATAATAAACTGCAGAACCATACGAATCCTCTCGTTTCAAACCTTGCTTCCTCTTCGATCGTTGATAACCCTCCGAGGCGTCTGAAAAGAAGATGGCCTCGGGACCTTCTAATATAGAACTTTAATTTGAGTTCTACCAATGGGGTGTTTCTCTTCATGTTGTACATGTCATTTTACCAATGTCATATTTACTTATTGTATTTTCTATGTAATACAGTTGTAAATTTCATTTAAAAAAATATATATATACATAATTTAGTAAAATAAAACACAAAAAATCTGGTGCACGCAACAAACAACTTTCATTTACCTCTCTACTTTAAATAGAAATTATTTTATGGCAATGTTGGACTATTATAAAATTTTTGAAGTGCATTTTAAGCGGAGCTAAAGTTTAAAGCTAACAGATAACAAATCATTAACACCATTAAAATTACAAAAAGTATATTTATTATATTGACGGTAGGCAATAAAAATCTAGTTTATCTACATCTACTTTTATAAACAACATAACTTCAGCCTCTGAGCCATTCGGTTGACAGAACGAATAACTCCAATTTCAACATTATTGAATAATGTCATTTTAATGATATTTTTAGTTGAAAAATTATATCTATACATACACTGAATAAGTTGATTACAGAGTAGGTGATTGCAGTGTAGAAATATAGAACTGTGAATAAAGGTATAAATTTTGCCAATAGAAACATCACTAAAATTAATAATAAAGTATGTTGAAATTTTAGTTAGCCATTCTGTCAACCAAACGGCTCATTTATGCCTAGAGAGATTTGAAAGTACATCTGAATATTTAACCTATAAATGATTATCGATTGTAGAACTATTAGTTATTAAACTGCTATTTTCCATTGTAAAGTTTACTAAAATGATATAACGAGATTTTCAATGCCTGCCATGGATAGGTCAAAAGTTGTCACACTAATTGTAAGTGGATAATGTTGGGATTTCACAAAGGGAAAAATCATAAAATTATTCACTAATTTAATTTTCTAAAAGGTTACTTGATAACTTTTTGAAATAAACGGCCAATAGATACCTAATTATTTAAATATATAATATCGTATCTCCTCGCGCGGGCTCATTACCGCGTATGGGGAGCGTCCCACGGGTGGCGGATGTGGGGATGGTCGGTGGAAATTTCTTGGAAGTTCCTCCCGGCTAAGTCCGATGGACTCGCTGACCAACAATGAGAGGGGCCCTCCAGACTTGCTGGAGGGAGGGGACCTCCAGACTTGCTGGAGGTAGGGGCCCACCAGACTTGCTGGAGGGTGTGACGTAGGATTGAACGCCCTACTCACATATCTTTAGTTCACCAAACACCACAAAAAGTCATGGATCTCCCTAAGGTAAAACGCTCATTATCCGGAAGTAAACTAGTCCCCCGTTCGGGTCTCCGGGTGGGGACTGCTTTAGGAGATTCATGGCGCAAGTTGAAATATAGGGATTTAAATATTGGTACGTGGAACGTAAGGAGTTTAAACACAGCAGGGGGGCTAAAATCGGTCGCGAATGAGGTAAATGGGTACAATTTGGATGTCGTGGCTCTGCAAGAGGTTCGCTGGCCAGGGGAGGGCTCGATGAGGGAAGGGAAGTACACTATTTGGTACGGAGGAAGCGGGAATCATTGTTTAGGTACCGGGTTTCTAATTAGGCGTAGATTACTATCCGCTTTGAGGGACGTACAATTCTTTAGTGATAGAATTTCGGTAGCTACATTTCAGGGACGTTGGTTTAAAATCGCATTAATAAACATACATTGTCCGACCGAAGACAGTGACGATGAAGTCAAAAGTGAATTTTACGATAAACTCGAATGGGTTTATGATAAACTACCACGAAACTACATGAAAATAATTGTAGGTGACGCGAACGCAAAGGTAGGAAGGGAAGAAGTTTATATTCCGACGATTGGTAAAGAAAGTTTGCACGAATATAGTAATGATAATGGGATCCGTCTGATAAACTTTGCCATCTCGAAAAACCTGATAATTAAAAGTACGACGTTTAAACATAAGGATATTCATAAATATACTTGGACATCACCGGATTCGCAAACACGAAATCAAATCGATCATGTCTTGATACAACACAGCTGGGAAAGCAGTATAATTAATGTACGGTCTTATCGCGGAGCAGAATGTGGGTCGGATCATGAATTAGTAATCGCGAAACTTCGACAAAAACTTAATATAAAAAAGAGAAAAGAAAACCGTTTCGATTTTGAGAATTTTAATTTGGAAAAATTAAAAAATCCATCAATTAGAAACCAATTCGAGCTAGATGTTAAGAATAGGTTTGAAGCTTTAGAGCTTCCTGACGAGGACCACGAGGATATTGACAAGTTATGGATAGAGATCAGAGATAATATTAAAGCGGTTGGTAACTCGTGTCTAGGAAAAAAGGAAAATAAGAATAACAAACCGTGGTTTGATGAAGATTGCTTAAACATGTGTGAAAAAAGAAAAGCCGCTAAATTAAAAGCTCTAAATAATCCTAGCGAAGACAATCTGGAATACTTCCGAATCTCAAAGAACGAAACGACAAAATTGCTCAAAAATAAAAAAAGGGAGTATCTTAAAAATAAAATAATTGAAATAGAAACTAATAGAATTGAAAATAACGTAAGAGAAATGTACAAAGGTATAAACAGATCACGTAAATATGTAGGGCCCGTAACCTCTGGAATTAGGGATGATAATAACAATATTCTGACCGATCCGGTTGACATATTGAATAAATTTAAGGACCACTTTGACAATATTTTAAATACGGTAAATTATGATCTGTGTCCTCATTCTGAGTACCAGAGTGCTGATCCATTAATAGAAGGACCAAGTAAAGAGGAAGTTGAAGTAGCTATCGGAAAATTAAAATCATATAAAGCAGCGGGAATCGATAATATTCCTACTGAACTAATTAAGGCATGCGGAGAAGCTGGAGTCTCTAAAATACATCGGTTGGTTAAAAAGATCTGGGTGAACGAGAAATTACCTGAAGAATGGAAAGAATCTATTCTTATTCCGATTCACAAAAAGGGTCCGAGGACGGATTGTAATAACTATCGAGGAATTTCACTGCTTCCGGTATGTTATAAAATATTCACTTTAATCTTAACCAGTCGAATCACGGAATACGCCGAGGAAATTATCGGAGACTACCAATGCGGATTTAGACGGAATCGTTCTACTATTGATCAAATATTTTCTTTACGGCAAATATTAGAGAAAAAATTGGAGTATAACGGTATTGTTCACCAGCTGTATATAGATTTTAAAAAGGCTTACGATTCTATTGACCGCCAGAAAGTGTATAATATTCTAATCGAGCAGGGGATTCCAAAAAAACTAGTAAATCTAGTCAGGATGTGCTTGACGGAGACACTCAATAAAGTTAGAATCGGTAATAATTTGTCCGAAAAATTTGAGGTTCGTTCGGGCTTAAAACAGGGGGATTCTCTTTCGCCTGTCCTGTTCAATATGGCATTAGAACATGCCATTAGGGAAGTAATGCGAACCGAGAAAGGGTTGGATCTGGGCGGGACAACATCCGTGCTGGGCTATGCTGATGATCTGGTACTGTTAAGCGAAGACGTTGAAATTATAAAACTAAATACGACAACGTTAGTGAGAGCCGGTAAAGAACTGGGACTCGAAATAAACGTGGATAAAACAAAATATATGGTTAGCTGCAAAAATGGCGATACTACTGGAGATATCGATATTGATGGTAATATGTTTGAACAGGTAGATAAATTTAGGTATCTAGGTTCTACGATAACTAGAAAAAACGAAATTGAAGAAGAGATTAAGGTTAGACTGAAGGCGGGGAATGCTTGTTATTTTTCTGTGACAAAACTACTTAGTTCGCGCCTCTTGTCCCGAAACTTAAAAATTAGAATCTATAAAACAATTATCTTGCCTACAGTTCTTTATGGATGCGAAAGTTGGCCGCTTATATTAAGGGATGAGCAGCGTCTTAAGGTTTTTGAAAATAAAGTATTGCGTAGAATATTCGGACCGAAGAAGGATGAGTTAACCGGAGAGTTCAGACGGTTACACAACGCCGAATTGCGTGAGATGTATCCGGGTAATATAATTGAGGTAATTTCATCGCGGCGAATCAAATGGGCTTGTAAAGTTGTTGGGCTTAGTAACGAGAGAATTCCTAAAAGGTTAATATCTGCTGTGCCGAATGGTAAGCGTCCGAGGGGAAGACCGAAGCGAAGGTGGGAAGATTGCATTAAAGCCGATCTGAAGGGACTGGGTTTGGACGGCGAACGGTGGAGGGAGGTGTGTAACAAGCGATTGGTGGTGTCGGCATCGAACCTTCGGGTTCGCTAAGCCTTATTATTATTATTATTATTATTATTAATATCGTATCTAGAGTTATTAAACTACAGTAAACATATTTAAAATTACAAACATATCCATGAAATATTTTTATATTTCACTTCTTCTTTCACACCAGAAAAATGAAATAGTATTTTAAACAATGGCATTGGCTTGATTCGGTGGATTTTAAATACTTTTTCTTAATTTAGAAAAAAAATTATAAGTTTACATTTAGTAAGAAAATTTCATTTAATTTCCTTGGAAACATGTGATTTACGTTAAATAATGCTATTTTTCTGAAATTATTATTTATATTTTTTTCATCACTCTCCTCTCTAAAATTCTCTGCTTTCCAACGATATATTATAAGTATACATACTGACTGTTATTTCTGGAGATTCATTTTCAACCTGGATAAGCATTTTTATTTTTTCTCCAGTTTCCAATTACCATATTCTTTCAAACTTCATATTTAGCCATTTTTTATAGTTAATCTCAATAAAAGAGAGTTCATTTTTTAAAATAAACCATCTTACAGGTACTTTAGAGGAAGATGTATAGGAACATTCGGCATTTAAGCTCTGTGAAGTTACATCAACGGGGAAAAGACCTAATTAATATTAAAGACCACTTAATTATACAATGATACGCCGAGTTTAATCAAAATCGTCAAAGCCGTTTTGAAAAATTGTGAAAAACGATTTTAAGAGAAAAGTTGCCGTCACATCTAAGGCATGTATCTTCTTAAATACGTAATATCAGTTTTATACGACTTTTTGTTTTCGAGCTTGAGTGTTCACATACACACAGACCATTTTTCGGGACTTGGTTATTTGGACTCAGGGTACCTCAAAACGTGTATTTCCATGGAAAACTCAGACTCAAAAATTTTCAAGCTCGCAATACTTACCCTTAGTATATTTTACATATATAGGTAAATGAAAATAAAACTGTATAGCACAAATAAATAAAATAAATAAAAAGTAGCTAACCATAAAAAAAAGGAAGACAAACTCAAGTTATAAGTAAAGTTTGTTCATTCGACTTGAGGTGAAATTCTTAAACTGTGGTTAAACGCATGTGAATTGTAAACGTTCAGAAAAAAGAACAATGATATCACTTGCTTATATACTAACATTGTTGTTTATAGTGAAGTGATGAAGAGAGAGAAATAACTATACATTTTGAAAGGACTATTTCGCACATTATAGAAATAAAGCAATTTATCAAATATAAGTTGGATTATTGTTTACCTTTGATAAACCAGCTAACGATGGCTCATTTTCACAAGAAGGAACCCATATTTTTATGTCCGAATCTAGACCACTTGTAGCGAGGACAGGTATCTTAGGATGAGGTTCCAGGCAGTTTATCTGAAAATAGATTATTATAATAATTTTATTATAATAATAATAGATTACTATTACAAAAAAATAATGTAAATTTAATTAAAACATACACATCATCTGATTTCACATAAGTAAAAAAAATGTTGGAATTTTGTCTAAACTTTTTAGAACATTGTTTATTTTATATTTAGCTAAATTTTATTGACAAATATTAATTTTTATTATTTTCTAGTATATAGTAGATTATTTGCAAGTATTACTAATTTTTAAAAACTTATCTCAATGATCGACAGAAGCTGTATAATATTCTAATCGAACAGGGGATTCCAAAAAAATTAGTAAATCTAATTAGGACGTGTTTGACGGAAACACTTATTAAATTTGCAATCTGCAAATTTCTTTGCAATAAGCAAATTTTTTAGCAGCTTCACAGCTTCCCATCACGTCCGGGATATAAATCAAATCAGCAGGTCTCTTGGCCAACGCCTACGTAATCGTCGTGGTGGGCTGTACGGGTTTCTTGTACGATGAAGGATTTCTGTCAGAGGATTCATGTTGTACGTCAGTCTTTGGTGAAAGTTATTGTAGTTCTCTTTTGCAGTATCTAAAATTGTAGGTACGTTTAAGTCTTTATGTAGTGTGTCATTTGCGACATAAAAAGGTGCGTCAACTATCCTTCGCAACACTTTTGACTGAAAGGACTGAACTTTTTTAATGTTGGAAGTTTTAGCAGAGCCCCACAGTTCTATGCCGTAAGTCCAAATAGGTTTAAGTAAGACTTTATAAAGGGTTAGTTTGTTAGTTAAAGATAATTTTGAACGTCTGTCAAGTAATCTGGATAAGAGACCGTATCGTCTGTTTAATTCTATTCGTTTTTGTCTGATGTGAGTCTTCCAAGTAAGTCTTTTGTCCAGGTAAAAACCTAAATACCTAATTACATCTGATGTTGGGATTTGAATGTTATTAAAATATATTTCAGGGGAAGGTTTATGGTTAAGAGTGAATACCACATGCACACTTTTTTTTTCATTCATCTTAATTTTCCACCTTGTTGCCCAGTCTGCAATATCGTTCAGATGATTTTGAAGGATGGTAGATGCTCGAACAGGGTTTTTATCTGAGCTTAGTACTGCGGTATCGTCTGCAAAAGTAGCCAGTATTGTGTCGTTGTGTTCCGGTAGGTCAGACATATATATATTAAACAATATTGGTCCAAGGACACTACCCTGAGGCACTCCTGCTTTAATAGGTTTGATGTCAGAACGTTCTGTCCCTACTTTTACTAAAAAATGTCTATCCGTTAGATATGAAAGTAATATTAGATAGTAGGTCGGAGGAAGTAAAATTTTAAGTTCGGAGAGCAATCCTTCATGCCAAACTTTATCAAAGGCTTGACTAATGTCAAGAAAAACTCCAGGGCAATAATTTTTAGATTCTAAAGAATTAGAAATATAATCTACCAATCGATGGCATTGTTGAACAGTTGAATGATGCTTTCTGAAGCCGAATTGATGATTTGGAATAAATTTAAATATATCGAGAGAATCAAGGCGACGAAGAATAATTTTTTCAAACAATTTAGAAAAAGAAGGAAGAAGACTAATCGGACGATAGGAATTTGGGGAGTCTGAAGATTTATTAGGTTTTAAGACCATGACAACTTCAGAATATTTCCAGAGAGTGGGGAAATGTGTGATTCTCAAAATAGAATTGTAAATATTTGTTAGAAAAAGAATTGCTTTCCAAGGTAAATTTTTTATGATAAAATTCGTAATTAAGTCAAATCCCGGAGCCTTGTTCATAGGCAAGCTCTGAATTAAATTTTGAACTTCGTAAGGATGAATTGATTTTGGTGGTAATGTCATAGGTAAGGGTACGTTAAGGTGACTTTGGACAATTGTAGTAGAGAGTATGTCATTTATGTCATTATGAGGTTTAAATGTTTCTTCGAGGTGGCGAGCAAACAATTGCGCTTTTTGAGCATCTGACTTTGCCCAGTAACCATCATCATGTCTGAGAGGATGTGAGACGTCATGATGCTGTAGAATACGTTTGAAACACTTAATAAAGTTTAAACAAGTAATTATTTATCCGAAAATTTTCAGGTTCATTCGTGTTTAAAACAAGGTTCCCTTTCAACTGTCCTGTTTAATTTAGCAATAAACATGCCATTAGGGAGGCACTGCCGCCACAAACATATTATTTCCAACAATAATTCATTTTTTCTCAAATATGGACTGTTTTTTGGTCTTCCCGCATCATTAGCTTAGAAACTAACTTCCTTTTCCATTCCACACAAGTAAATTATGATAATTTAATTTAATATAATATACAAGTAATCAAGTAGATATGGAAAAATGAAAAGTTGATAAGATAAAAAAAAACTTACCACTCCATCTTCGTCCCCTCGCATCCACTGAACTATGGCCTCCGTATTTTTATCCCAAATGTAAATATTTCCACAGTCTGAACCAGACACTACAAATTCACTTTTGGGTCCAAAAAAATTAACCCCCTTGACTGAAAAAAAAGAAAATAAATAATACAAAATCATTAATTAAAAAAAAGAAGGAAAAATTAAAAATAAATTTAACATAAAAACAAACTAAGATAGTCCATTAGGTTGTTACAAAAGTCATTCTGCATGAACACAAAACTTAATTCCAACTCTTATAATTAATCCTATAAGTATGTTTCAGTTCGCAATTTTGCACGTTCTTCTGAGACATTAATGGAAAAAAAGGTCTATTATTATTGTTGGTTGGCTTAAAGCACCGCGACCTTTGAAAGATCTATTGTGTGCCATGTATGTAGTTTGTTTTAATCCTTAAAACGTTATATTTATCGCGTATCTTAATAGTCTTGTTGGATTGACAGTCTCATAGCTACTGGGGCGATCCATCCATTCTTCCCCAAATAGCTTCAGTCTAAGCCTTGCAAATCTATCGCATCGACAGACGATGTGAAATTTCATTCTCCTCCTGACAGAATCTGTATAGCAGGTTCATCGTCACTCGGAGATTGAACATGTGATAGTTTAACTTACAGTGTCCTGTGTAGATCGCTTTAAGCTTTTTAAGAGCTGCTCTCCCTATACTCAGTAGCAGTTTGCTTGTTTTATCACATGGACCTTTAAGAAACAGCATTGAATGTTGCTGTTTCTTCTCAGTCCAGTGTTGTTTAAATATGTTACCATATATCTTCCTAATCCTATTTTTGGCAGTACTAAGATAGATCCAGGAGTTATGGGAATAGTATCTGAGCCTAACCAGGCTAGTTTGTCTGCTTCTGCGAATGCCCGAGTGACCAGGCAACCACTCTATTGCAACTTTATTAAGTTCAGTCAGATTATTAAGTGCTATACTGCATTCTTTAACAACTTTTGAGTACACATAATAATTATTTAGACCACCTATTGCTACCTGACTGTCAGTATAGATTGTAAAAAAGCTCTAAGTGCCAACACATCTGCCGAAGAAATTTGTGCCATAGGAGAGTCAGTTATCCATCGAAATATTACCGTGTTTTGGTTCAAGCATTCAAGCGTGGGATTATGAGCCGCTTGGCAAATATGTTTTTTTTGCATTTTAAGCTTGTTCTTGATCATTGGGCAATAGACTCAAACCTTTACTGTGAAAAGCTTGACAGAGTTTATGCAGTTTTGAGTGTAAAGTACCCTGCTTTGATTAACAAGAACCAAGCTATTTTGTAGCACGATGACCCTGCATATCGTTCTCGTATGGCCACGGAAAAATCATCGGAACTGCAAGCAGTAAATATTTTGCCTCAAAACGACAGGGGTGGTACCAGCATTAAGACCAATTACTGACAGAAATATGGTTGAAAGTAATTGAAAACAATGGACTTTACTTAGAGTAGTATTCAACAATGTTTAAAATATGTAATGTGACTTAAAGCTAGACTTTTGTAACTTTTGCAACAACCATGTAATAATACGTCATAAAATATCAAGGATTTCAAATTTTTATTTATTTTTTCTTTACATTACATTCCAAATATATTGGATAAAGATAATAACTAAATTTAAAAAATCAGTAGTGAACAAATGCCCATCCTACGAAATTTATATACTATGGACAAATGATTCATGAATAGCTTTCCATATTTATACATAAAAAAGCTAACTTGTGTTTAATAGTCAACATATTAATAAACTAAATAAAAACAAATTTAATATCATTGTATATAATTAAGAATAAATACCTGTTTCAGAATTTCGATGGCCTTCATACCTATGAATATAATTAGAACCTGAAGGTTGCTTTGTATCAAACATGTATATATCATCATCGTTATAAGAGCCAATCACTTCGGTACCATTATAATTAAACACTGCACAGGTAACGTAAACTGACTTATCCTGTGAACAATAAATAAATAAAATTACAACAAACAAATTGAAATACTCACAAAAATAAATAGGGATTTCCCTAATCTATACATGGTAAAGTAGTATAGATCTAGGACAGGGCAGCCAAGCACATTAGGGGTTGGATCCTAGAGTGCCCGGTTCTGAATGATGTGAGTTTGATTTCTACCTGGGTCGGTTAATTTTCCATTCTCAGCAGTCCCAGGAAATGGATCTTGACATTTCCACTCTGGTAAGTAGGATGCGATAATGTAATAGGGTGTATAAAAAAAAATGACCATTTTTCTACTAAATATTTGTAGTATTATTTCTTTGATATAAAATACAATTATTACTCAAAGTATAGTCCATTGTTATCTACCGTCATTAGCCATCTGCTCGATCACACACTGATAACATTCTTTGGGATGGATGTCAAACAACTCTTGGTCTGCAATTTTAACTTCCACAAAATTATCAGATTCTTTCCCTTGAAGAAAATGGGCCAAGGATCTAAATAAGTAGTAATCTGATAGTGAGAGGTCTGGAGTATATCGTGGATGAGGCAGGAGTTTATCAGGCTAGGGATTTTCACTAAATTTTCAAAAATTTCTAACCACTTAGCTGATTGCTGAGGAGTAAGTTCGTGAGAGACCAATCTACTGCTCATTTTGATCTTCCCCAAGGAGCCACACTCCCTGGCAAGTTCGCGAGTACTTGAGGACGGATTTGACCCAACAGCTTCCTGCAGAACCTCATCAATATCCTTTAATGGTCGCCTGGAGCCTTCTTCCTTTCCAATGACATATCTCCACTGCTAAATTTTTCAAATCAATGTCACACAGTGCGCTGGTCAAGGACACCTTCCCCATCATATTTAATGATTTCAGGAGTTGCTTCAGTGGCTATGAATTTTTTTTCTAGTAATGTCTCAAAAATTACGAGAATTTTGTAGAACACTCATGTTTCTTCTTTGAAACAATTAACTAGACTGAGGCTTTTATAGAAGAAGTCGAATGGGATTAAAGAAGCTTAAAGAATGCTCTAAAGGGCTTATTAAATACTGATAAGTATTAAATAGGATTAAAATATTTACAGCCCTTTGAAATCTTGAATTTGATAAAATGGTAATTTGTTTTGTATACCCTTTTATTATGAAGAATATGAGAGTTTTCGCAAGATTTTACTAAGATAATTTTTTCTTCAAATGTAACAGGAAGATGAAATATATGCATATGTACTACAAAAGTTTTTGCACAGGTATACAGGTAATAAATAATTATATGACAGAAAATAAAAATCAATATTACTAACCTTTAAAAATGTTGGAGAATATTTGCTTTTCGGAACACCAGTTCTGTTTATAAACCTCCTATCGTAAAGTCTGATATATAAATCTTCACCAGAAATACAGAATTCATTTGATTCCATAGGATTGACATTTATACTGTACAGACTAATTCTGCTTGAGCCTTCCTTAACGTACATTAATCTAAAAGAGCAAATTAAATTATAGGATCTAGAAAAAATTAACTATTTAGAAATTAATGTAATCCTGAAAAAAATCTCAAATTAAGTACAATGCTATGATAAAGTCACTTCTGACATACGGATGCAAGGCACTAAGCAGCACCCTAGAAAAATTCTCCGCATAGTAACCGGAACAATATGTGATTAGAGTACTAATGCATGGAGGAAGGAGACCAATAAAGAACTGCTTACAGAGAAATTGGTTAATCAATTTCTCATTGTGTGAAGGCAAGGAGATTAAGATGGGCAAGGCATATAGCTCACAGTAATCTATTAGGAATCAAATACACAACAATGAATCAATCCTTGTTCTTTAGTCTGTTTTCTAAATACGAAAACCTGTATAATCCTTCTCATAGAACTGCTCCCTTTAAAAAATTCTTTATACTTCGTGCTATTTGTGTTAGAATTCCTTACCCACCTCCATACACAAAACTTCTTCTTCGAGTTCTTTTAAGTACCAATTAATCATCCATCTCTTTAGCAATTAATTTACCAAATATATGTAAGAATTAAATTTTCGTATTAGAGTTTTGTCAGCCTAATTTTATGGTTATTTCACAGTTATCTATATATTATGTAGGTTTCTTATCAGTACAATTATGTTAAGATACTGATATTTTATATTAATTCTGAGGTTACTGTAATTTAATTCTTTCTAGCCATTTCATGCCAGACAAATGACACTTGTATTGTTCATTTTTACTACTCTTACTACTACTAAATGACTAAATATCCCAGAATAAAATTTATTTTTCTTCTTTTTTTTAAATGAATTCCAGACTAGTAGACAAGAGACCACTCGCAAGGCCAAAATTCAGATGGATAGTTCGAATCAACAAAGATACAATAGAGCTACACGCAAATAACTGAAAAAATAGCCCAAGATAGACAGACATGGAGAAGGTGACAAAAGATCTGCAAGGTCTATAATGACAAAAAACAAATAAATAAATAATTTAGAATCAGGAAGTATTGGGTTGGCAAATAAGTCCTTTCAGTTTTTCAGGGTGAAATAACACTCAATATATTATAGACCTAAAATTTATTTTAATCTACAATATATTGACCATTATTTAATAAGTCTATTTTCCATCTTTTCACGAACTGCATAATGTTCATAGTGTCTGGAGTTTATTGTTAAGAACTGATCTATTGAGTTGTTTTTTATGTCCTCTTCCTTTTGGAATTTCTTTCCATTCATGGAGTTCTGAAGAGACCGGAATAAGTGGTAATCATTTTTAACTAGGTCTGGTGAATAGGGAGGGTGGGGCAAAAGGTCCTATCCAAGGTTCAATAATTTATTGCGAGTGACCAATGAGGTATGGGGCACCTTTGTCTTGATGGAACACAACACCCTTCCGATTATTTATAACTCTTCAGGATGTTCTCCAAATTCGATGTTAATATATCCGTTGGAAAGCTGAATTATTGCTCTTCAAAGCCATATGAATGGTTGTTTTTATTTTTTTTATTTAATTCCTACATAAGGAATAAATAAACAAAAACTCATTATAGGTTTTTATTTTTTATCTCCATTTGTAGTTTGTTTACGAAGATCAAGTTGATTTCATTTTGTGTAGTTTATGTGGCCCTATAAATTCGGGCTAAATTTCTTGTATATAGCTAAATTCGTATTGAACTTATAACATTTTTTTGTGATTTTCAAATAGAAATCATGTGAGGGACCCAAACATTATGCCTGGAACCATAGCTGATTTTGAGCAAATGGTTTTTTTAAGCTTGTGTGCAACACATTTAGGGCCATAGCAATCTCTCGCACTGATTGGGTGGGATTTTGTTCAACAATGGCCTTAACATTGTTCGCTTCAATTTCATGTGGGGATCCAGACAGTTGAGCATCATTGATGTCAAAATTTCCTGAATGCTGTTCGACAAACCTATTTTGACAGGTACGTTCGTTTAAGGCATCATCCCTATAAACACTGCAAAAATTTTCAATGAGCTTCTGCAGCACGCCTACCTTTTTTAAAATAATACAACAAAATGTGCCGATAATGGATGATATTTTCTTCCATATTCACAGAGCAATAGCAAACACAATACTAAGCCAGTTTCAACAAAAGTTAACAGATATAGTTGTTGAAATATTACAAACAGGATAAACAATCCACCTTAGGGATTAATTCATCAGATTAGAAGTTTTCATAGTGACACAAAAATAAACAGAAAAATCCGAAAGGACTTATTTGCCAATCCAATACTTTGATCTGAAAAAAAATATACTAATATGAAGTCGAAACACCAATAGCAACAACATTCATATCTCTCTAAAACCACTCCAACAAATAGTGATCTATGACTTTGGTTGAGTTCAGCATAACTTCACAAGTAGAGATGAATGATAAAATGATACTTTCACTAGCTATGGATGAAATAAAGGCAAGCTATAAAATAGTGAAGAGATACTATTACAGCAAGATTTTTTAGTAGTCGTGGATTTAAACTGTTTTGAAACTTTAAAAAAATGATGGTATAATTTTAATTATGCTAATAGTTATGTAATTTTCTACTAATTTGATTATAAAAATATAAGATTATTCCAAGATCCATTCAGTCCAAGGTGGATTAGAATACGATGACAAATGAACTCAGTTAAAAAAATAAGTCCAATCCCTCATTTAATATCAGTAATGCAAGAATTTAAAATTGTAGAAATAAATAATCAAAAAGGAACACATTACCACATACCTGTTTGGTTTCTTTTCTCGAACATCGATACAGAACACCTGAGCATCAGCACCAGCGGAAAGGACGACATGGGGTTCCTGTTTTATAATAGATATTTTATGGCAGGCTCGGCTATGATGAGCGAGGGCTTGAGAACTTTCATAACCACCGTTACTCGTTTGTAAAGCAAGTCTTACTTGACCGTCACGAGAACAAGTTACAATGTGGCCGTCCCCAGTCAATGGTAGATATTTACACTGCAAATAAATAAAAAGGTAAATAATAAATCATAATAAGTCTACAGTTTACCAAGCTCATTCTCTAGTAGCAAATTAATTTAAAAACTGAAGTAATAGATATATAATATAACAATATTAGTTGGCCTATGAGATTTATTACCATCGTAAATTGGTCAGTGCAAACTGTAATATAAAGAAGAAGAGAAGAAAAATAAACTTTATTCTGAGACATTTAGTCCCCTAAGAATAATTATAATGAACAAAAAGGTGAAATTGTCTGGCATCATAAAAAATAAAAAATTTTTTTAGCTAACATAACATTATAATCTAACCTTATAATTAAAATAAATTAAGTACTAGTAAAAATATTGATTTGTACATAAATATAAATAAGTGTGTTCACGTATTTGTTCTGATTAACAATATTGATGTTATATAATATAGGTACATCTACATTGAGACAGGTTGTAAACGGCTTCATCTATATATCCTCGCATTACATCTCAGGTATATAAATTCAGTGTTGAACCTTCGTGGCACTGAGAGATAACCAACTTTACAGCAAAAATGATAATGGAAAAAAAATATACTGGTACAGAGAGTTAATAAACTCAGAAAGAGTTTTGGGGATTAATTTGACTACAAATATGCCTACACTGAATAGGCAGACCATTCAAGAGCTGTGTAATCAAATAAATGAAAAATATAATAAGGATAATTTGCAAAGAGCAGAATTTCATCGTGGTTATGCCCAGCTAGACCATAATCTATCTAATAATTATGTGACAAATGATGAAAGCCCAGGTTTTGTAAATAAATAAAAGCCCAGGTTTTGTTAAGATAATTTTCGTAGCAAGAGGGGAACTTTTATATTTGAACTGAAAACACTAGAGACACGATAGAATTTACACATGCTATCTATGTAATATGAATACCCATGAAGACACCTACTATTTCCTAGCCGTTTTTCTGATTCTAAGAGATATAAGAATTTCAACACTTTCAAAAACTACTATCTCACGAGACGAAATGATAAGAGCTCCTTAACAGTAAAAATAGGTCCTCACTTTATAAATATATAGTACTCGTATATAGTACTACAAGCCCCAAAGTATAGGAAATACTTAGTTGAACAATTTAATTTTAATTGAATCTTGGATCTCATGTATAAATATGGAATTTATCAGTTGATATATGAAGTGTGAATAGTATAAATACAAACACTTAGTAATAGATTTATTGTTGTTTGTTATTGCTATACAGTAGCAGTTGGTATTGTTGTTGAGTGATATGTTTTCTCAATTTAGTTGGTATAATTATAATTGTTATGTAATTTATTTGTAACTTGGAAAAAAAATATAAATAAAAGACAATAATAATAATTAGAATAATTTAACATGAAAGGCGACGATCTGACGGATGGACAATAATCCATGGCGTATATGTTAAAAAAAAATAAAAATATAGAGATTAACAAAGAAAATTTATTATGTATATTTTGATTAACAATAACCATTTTATCTATCTATCTAATTTATATTTCTACTCATACATACACATAAATACTTGACATAGATTATTAAAGATGCAGTACCTGAAAAACATTGCTAGAATGCCCTGAGTTGAATGTTGTAAGGCACTTTCCAACAGTCCAATTCCAAACGGCAATTAATTTATCATCTGAACCAGAAATAAGTCTCGTTCCGGAAGAATTAAAATTGATAGCATTAACACAACCTTCATGTTTTTCCAATTTATACATTAGTTCAAGGCGTTGAACGGCATGAAGTGAGCCATAAAATCTCTGAGTGAAAGAAGCTGGATGGCGAAAATCCCCTATCTCCCTAAATAAATAAATAAATCAACCAGTATAAAATTATTTCTAAAATATTTCATTATTTTACTTTTAATATATGAATGAATATCAAACTAACCTTTTGGCAATTTCTTTTATGACAAACCATTTATGTTTAGGCTTTGGAATCCATATGACATTAGGAGAGTTAGGCCCTCCTGGACGAGATCCATCATTATTCGCTTCACCTCCAGAACTAGAACAATCGGATCCTTCTTCTAACCAGTCTGGATTGGACCCCCAAACCTGTAATTACAATAATAATAATAATTAAAGACCCAGAAATACTGCCAAATACCCAACGCACAGTAATACAATAACATCAAAAAACATTTGTTTTCTTCAACAATAAAATTAAGAGGTTCATAGAAGTAGGAGACAATAAAGACTTTTTTTTTGTCTTGTAAAAACCTGAAATGAGTAAATTATTAAAAAAAATTTTTTTCGATCAGTTATCACATTTCTTTTACTTTCGTACAGAGATGGGCAAATGCTTCTCTGAGTACTGAGTATTTTATTTAAATACTAACCTTTTTTGAATACCAAAGAATTTAATTACTACTTTAGTTGATGTCAAACGATTAATTGAAGTAGTGATTGAAATCCCAATAGTGATTCAATTTGAGTAAAATACTTGGTACTCGGTTTTCAAAGTAGCATTTTCCCATTTCTGTATTTATATTGTAGTTCCACAATATAAAAATGTTTGCCTAATATTGTCGTTTTATTGCAAAAAGTCATTAAGTGACATTTCATAACCTTAAATCACTTTAATTTTTTGTGTAATTTTAATGCACTTATTGTGTTTTTGATATTAACAATTAAGGTTAAAATTCACAAAAATGTTCTTAAAAGTTCGATTTCATAAAAAAATACGACTTTTTGCAATAAATTGATGATATCATTAGACTGTTAGGTATTTATTACTGTTTTTTTTTTTCAAATTCTATAAAAACACCTGTACTGCTTCAACCCATGAAGGGTCTTGGATTCAGTATTTTGTAAAGAAGTACTGTTTCAAGGCCAATAGTCGTGTAGTGAGATGATTGAACCGATATTATGCTCAACCACAATTGATTCAAAGGTTTGTATAATTTTGTTTATTATTAAAATTTGAAAAATTAAGCACTATATTGTAATATACACCTTAATTGAAAGTTGTTAAAAATTATTTTGTTAATAATAAATTAATGTAACAGTTAAAAAGCAAGCTAATCTAGTTCTACTAGTTCAGGGAAAAGAAAATAGCTGCTCCGTAGTTTCACAAAAAAGGAAAATCCAAAAGAGAGGATGGGACAAAGGATTTTGTTTTGGCTGGCAGTTGATGTATGGCTAGAGTGAAGAGAGGATAGGAGAAGGGACCTGGCTCTAGTGGGTAAAACCCAATAATAGTATTACCATCTTGGGAATTGTTTGGAATTACAAGAGCGAGGATCTCCAAGGGAGCTATAGTTGAGTAGAAGTAAGTGTCACCATTTTGGAAGTTGTGTTTGGAAGAAGATTGGAAACCATTTGAAAACAAATGAATTTAGTGCAACAAAGGAAGAAACAGTAACTATAGAAAAAAGATTAGCTTGCCAATCCATATTTGACTTTATTTTAAAATCAAACAGTGTTTAGTATAGTTAATTTTAGTTTGTCTGAGTGTTTTGATCTGATTGTCAGTAACCCATAACTGAGATAGAATAATTGTAAATTTCAGTTTATTATACTAATATTCTTATAATTTTGTATTTTATTTAACAACCTCTTATTTATTTTGGAAGTATCTGAACAGTATAAAGTGATTTTCTATATCATATTATTGTTTATAAAATAGAAGAGAGATGTTACAATATTCTTATATGAATTTAAACTTGGACATCCCAGACTAATCTTCCCCTGAAAGTTGCTAATTTACCACAAAACCAACTGCGATAGGCCTTGGGCTAGGGAAGGCCTGTTATAGAGAGAATAAAAATATCGATCCTTTAACTGACTCATTTAAATCATTGCTACTCTTAAAATATGTATACACAACAGATCCTATCATAAATTACATATTTCAACTGCTTTTTAGTATATATTGGACAAACCCTATGATTTTATTTGACTGGTTTCCCAGACACAATGATATACCAGGTAATAGTAAAGCTGACAAAACAGCAAAAGCTGTGTCATTGATCCAACCATCTAACTCTTTTGACAACCCTCACAATGATATATAAATCCTCATATTATCAAAGATAATGGACAAATGGAAATCAAACTACACTACAGAAAACGAACTAAGAGAGACCAAAAACACAATACTCCTTTGAAAATCCCCAATTCAAAATAGCAGATGTCACGAAGTCATCTGTGTCACTGGTGAGACATTCAAATCGGACACACACAACTTACCCATCAATATTTGCTAAGTGAAACATCTGGACCATAGGTGGGGAACCAAGGCCTCGGAGGGCACATGTGGCCTCATGTAGCCTCCAAAAGTTTTTTTTTTTTGCTATATTTATTAATCTAGTGCTAGAATTAATTGATATTTAATAATTTAAGTAATGACAATTTGGAAATTAACATAATCAAGTTGAATATATGTATATGAGTGTGTGGCCCAGTATAAAAACACTCTAAGTGCATGAAATACAATGAAGATGACATACAACATTTTATTTATGAGTAGTTACAGTAAGCGTACAATTTTCTGAATTCACAAAAGTAAAATTCATCAAAGTTTCCAATTATTTTAGGTTACGAAATGTCACTTAATGATTTTTTTTGCAATAAACCGACAGTATACAAAGTGATCTAGATGAAAAAAGAGAAGAATGTTACAACAGCAAATATGTTTCTGAATATGGGAAAATATTTCGGTTAAATAATTGAAAATAAATGTGATAAATAATATTCCACAGCCACAAGGAAGTTATAATTGTCAACCTCATCTGTAAATAAATTAAAAAAATTCTGATCTTAATCAAAAGGAGAAAACATATATTTCTTCACGGCATAGCCCGACCATGGTCAGTTAACTTTTAAAAAAATATAAATGATCTGGAAATTGAAGTTTCCCTATATCCAACATTTTCATCTAATTTGGCTCAAACTGAATACCACTTTTAACTGAGTTACTTGGCCCTCACCCTCATCCCCTGGCCTGGGAAAAACTGGAGGAATAACTTCGTTAAACTTAAAAAGTGAGAAAGGGGTAAACCAAAAAATATATATGTTTATTGCTGATGAGTAAAACATAACACTCTTATTTGGCACCATATATCTATCTAATCGATTTGGTTATCTACCTCTGGTTAATATGGTTTTTTTAGGGTTCATTTATCTCTTAAACAGGAAGAAGTCAACGCCTATGATATACCCAAAGGTTGCAATATTTGTTTAATAATATTTATATAATTAGTAATGCCTAGCTTTATTTTCATTAATATTAACATTACTAGAGTTTTAGGAGATTGCTTTTATTGTATTTCAGCTTATAATGCCAACATACAATAAATATAAAAGATGATTGGTAATCAATAGAAAGCAGAGAAGCAGTAAAAGATATGAAAAATGAAAGCTTTCTCTGAACATACATCTAAACTTGCTAACTACCAACATGAAGGCAACAGATTAGATAAGCTTCAAAAAGATATCTGTCATTATAGTTGATATCTTTGATTACGGTAATAGTTTCTCAATTAATTTCTTTTGTTATTATTTATCTCAGACTATCAAGATAATTTACCAATCACAACATATTTTAAGGATATGGAAATGAAAAAAAATAATTAGGTTTACAAAAAAAACTTACGGAATACTTGAAGACTTTTTTGAAAACGGAAAATGTTAGATGATGTAAGCAATAACAAATAAGATTAATTATATATCCTTTTAGATTTCATATATATTTTAACTTTGCTTCCGCTATTTTATAACTCACAACTTTTATACTGTTACTTTTTTAATTTATATATCCTATATTTGCCATTCACATATTTATTAATGTTAAGTTCAACTAACTAGATATTTTACTACACTTTTTTACCTTCATATTATTACTCTTACTGTCTACTATTTTCTCAATATTTATATGTTATCTTGTCTTATGGCAAGATGGCCCCGATGAAGGCCTGAAACTTGGGCCGAAATGTTGGCACAAAGGAAATAAAAATAAATATTATTTATTTATTTTTACTTTCTACTTTCATTGATTGAAAACCTCAACCAACTTCTTTTCAATAGATCTTATATAGTCAATAATTATCCACAAAACATCAAAATTCTTTCATAATATTTTAAAAATGTTTCACAGAAATATTTTACAAGCTTCAGGAAAATAGTGAAAAAATATACCAATGATGTACGTTTTTCTACTTCATTAATGGCACATTACTTTATAACAACATAAAAGAGTTAATTATTATTACAATATGTAAAAGGACTAACAATACCATGTCATTAAACAGAAAGTTACTTCGAGAAGCCGATTTAAGTTATGATTCCAGGAACGAGGAAATAAAAACCTGAAAGCCTTATCTATCATGACATCATCTATAAACGATTAATCATGAAATTAATTTGAATAAACTAATTTGCTGATTAATTTTTAAGATAAAAGATTTATTAATAATTGGTAATTGGTTGACTGTCGTGGATAATGAAGAGAAGAATAGTTGGGGTGCTCAGTCAAAAAAGGAAGGCAAAAATAAATTATAATATTTATTTTTTACATCTGCCGACGTTTCGACCTGAAGTTCAGGCCATCATCAGGGCTAAGAAAATAACCAGATAACAAGGTATGAGAAACTTAAGTAATGATGGTAAAAAAGATAATAACAAAAAAAAAAAAAAAATGAGAAAATAAAATAGATTAGATCTAGATAAAATAGATCTAGATAAAAGAAAAATAAAATAGATAGATATAAAGTAAAATAAAATTGTTAGAATAATGACTAAGAACTAAGAGATAAATAATACAGACTGTTACATAGCGTGGAATGATGAAGTAGGCATAATCAAAAAGGGGGTGACAATAGTGTTACATTGGGAATCTTAGAATAAAATGTAAAAACATAAAAAAGAAATATAAAGTTATATAAGAAATGAGAATAAAAGATTTATTATTAGTTTTGTTCATACAATTCTTGTCGGAATACTATAAGAAAATAAAACCAGATCATAGAACCAAGTTATATATTTCCCATATTTTAAATCAATAATTATATAAATATTTTAAAATTGTAACAGGAATCTATCTTCTTCATATTTTTAATATTAATTATTGACATTCTATTGTTCTATATGGTATAGGAAAAACAAAACATTTGATACATGCATGAAGAGATTGTAATATGAAAATGATTTCTAAAATAAACATCAAATAACTTTAAAAATAGACTGTGAGAAAACATTAACTTTATCACACTAAAGAGATAAGAACAGCAACAAAATCATTAATATTAATCCCATGATTAAAATATTAACCTAGTTCACAATAGTAAATAAAACAAACAAAAAGAATAATTGGAATATTTAAGTACGGAAATCTTTATAAATTCAAAGATAAGTGACTTTTGGTAAATTATAATATTAATCTTTTCTATGATTAGTAGGGAGACCAAGAGTGGACTCTCACAGCATTAAGTTGAAAATTTTATATTTTTTGCTTATGACGGAAAGTTGAGAAAAAACAAAGTCAGTATTAACTTAAAGTCACAGCTCTTGAGCTGCAAACAATTTGAGGGCAAAATATATTCTACACCTTGAGATACTTTAAAAGCCAATGCTCAGTGAAATAAACCATAATAAATCTTTCTAATAATTAAAAACAAAGACAAATTATGACTAGATTTCCTGCATAATTAGATCAAAATATTACAAGTAAACATATTAGTATTCTGATATCACAAAACAAGTTAACCCACAACTAAAGAGACTAAACAAAATTTATCAGACCTACTCCTGTCCAGGGAAAATAAAACACAAAAATTGATCTATGCAATAGAAATAATTACTCACAATTTCATCTTCAGAAGATGACGGACTATCTCTATTGTTACTGGCATCTTCAGTACTTCGAACATCTTCATCCATACGTTCTACTTCTTCTATATTATTTCCTTCCCTATCATTGTTTTCTTGACTTCTATTTTCAGTATTTATCACAGTTGTCAGCCGATTCGGAGAATTCCGTTCTCCACTGTCATTACTTTTGTAGTTGTTGTTCATTTTGAGAGCAACTGTTAAAAATAACAATTCTTTAAAAATAAATAGTGACTCACAATAATAAGTACAATGTCAATTTCCTAAACATAATAAATGTCCTCTCTTGTTATGACCTTGAATTTTAAATCACAATAACAAGAGTCTTTTTAAAAGTATATTGTAAACATTAAATTAGTGGATAGTTGACAATGTCCAATCATGTGAAGGATATATTTTGGTAGACATTTAAATACTCACAACATTCTAAAATCACATTAGATACTTCTTAAAATTAATACAAGTATTTCAAAGGAAAACTGTATAATTTTCAATATGGCACTAAAATGCATCTAATAAAAATTACAATTAAAACTATTCAAACATTCACACAAAAGAATTGAAAACCTCACCTTCGAATCAAAAGTAATATTCAGTTAAGCTGGAAATATATATTCAAACTCATTTCATCCCCAGACGCAATAATGAAATTTCACTTCTAATGAACTGTTGCCAAAACATGTCTTGATTCCAGAAATATAAAAAGAACATCAATACAAAGCATACTGCAGTTCATATTTACATTAATCAATGAATTGAAAAAAGATAAACAATGTGACATTTCGTAAATCAAAACATATCCTATCAAAAATGTTTGAAACGACTTCACTGAAAGCTAACACCTTCGACACTTCTTTATTTATAGGTTCTGAAAATAACCTACTTCGAAGAGATCTACTACAAAATGTGTAGTGGACTAATAGCTTATAGCTAACGTGTCAAGAGAGCACCACTTGACAACGAAATGACAGCCGATAGCATTTTTTGTATTTCAACGACCTTTACTTAAAATAATTAAGAGTCCGGCTATTTCTATATTAAAAAAACAAACAGGAAAATAATTAATTGTCATATGGTTGAAACTGCTTTTTCGAGATGTAGAAACTAAACAAGAATTGCTTGAATTATAACATTTAAATGCGAATAATCTCTTTACGAATAAATCGTCTCTGATTATAGTTATAACTGATTTTAATAATTGATGATATATATTAATTTAATTAAATAATATAACAAATCATTATAGTAGAATAATCGTGTTTTTTACAAAAAGTACCTGTCTATGTTTCAATCAGGGAGGGACAAATGGGCAGATTCTTTTCTTTCAAATTCGAAAGATTTATTTATCTTTAGTAAAAAGTGATTTCTTTCTACTTTTTAGTTGTTTTAATCTTAATTTGGTCAATAACACCACTTAATATTATTCACTGTATTAAAACAAGAGTCAGGAAAAGACAACAAAAGCAGGTTTTAAAGTCGTCAATTTAAAAATTATTAGTTCCCTAGATGTTATTGCTCCCTTCAATTCAATTCCAGTTATTCTTAAAATCTTAAAAAATAAGCATTCATAAATTATAGTCCGAGTTAGATACTCCTTTTTATAGAATTATTAACATCCGCCTGAAACTTCATAAATAGTTTCATCTCATTTAACCTACAACTATTTCATTTACTAAAACTCTTGGAAACACGAAAAAAAAACACGGAAAATCTATCACAAAATAGATAAAATATGTGGCCTTCAAAAATATTGAGGCGTTTGGCGTGACCTGCACCTCCAAAATTTCAAAATAACGAGGTTATATAGGACAAACGGCCCAATATTTTTGTAGAACATATTTTTTATTATTCTTGTGATCAAATTATCTTACGATCCAAGTAGAAAGTAAACGCGTATTTACGAGTTTTTAGTACCTACTTAAATAGACAAAGTTTGCTCTCCTTCAGATTGAAAACGCTCCAATTCCACGACTTTTCGTAAATAAAATAGTTGTAGGTTATGATGAGATGAAACTATTTACAAAGTTTCAGGTGGATGTTAATAATTCGATAAAACTGGACCTGTACCACGGTCTATTAACTTGAATTGATTCTTATCCATTGAGAAAATTTGGTTGTTCTATTATACGAGAGTAAATCTAAGTTAAGCGAATACAATTTCCTTAGAGTAAAAAAAAAATTATTGCGAAGATATTTCCGGTTGACGAGTTTTTACCTTCACTGTATACCCACCACCCCCTTTAAACACTCCTTACTCTGTTTTAAAATACTATTTACAGATGGTCAAAAGGAATAGAAAAGAGGCTTCACATATTTCGTTACCATTCTCCGCCGCTTGATAAAATCTTCAACTTATACACTAAAGCAACTTGTAGTATCCAAAGTAACCGAATTGAACACAGGGCCTGGTGGAAATTCAAAGAGTCTATCTATCCCGTTTCAATGACGGTTCGAGGAAAGATTCGACGGGCCTTACTGATGCGGAAGTCTATAAACAAGATTTAGACACTGAATTAAGTATTTTATTTGTCAAATATAACACTGTTTTTCAGGCTGAAGTATCCTATATTACTAGCAATTACATATTTAGAAGTCATTGCTCGTAACAGGTTTACTATCTTACTCCATACTGGTAAGAAAGTGAATACAGAAATAGGTCAGCCAAGCCTTCATTACGAAACTGGAGTACAACCAACGAAATCATGAGCTATGAGAAAACCTAAGAGTTTGCAAGAAATGGAGTTGAGATTCCATTATAGAGCCAGATCTTGAATTATGCATATGAAAGGAAAAATGGCCTGAAGAGGTTCTTGATTGGTTATGGAAAAGAGCAGATAGTGAGTGAGAGGAATATACTGAACTTAGGTATGCAGTAATAAACATCCTTCCCCCTTCAAGGACTAGGTGGCTGTTAGCCCTAAACAAATATGAAATCCGATTGATCATTGAAGTGCTTACGGGTCTTTGCAGGCTTAAAAGACATGTAAAGTTCTGTAGAGTAGTTGATGATGAATAGCCTTCTGGATTAGGAAAGAATTTTATAACAGAAGACTTCCTCCATTAAATGGTCAACCGTTTTTAACGTCATTCATCATTCCGAGCTCGACAATCCATTACTGGATCTTGGCTACCTCAAGAGGTTTCCTCAATGTTTCCCTATCCACCAATTCCTGATTCCAAGGATTCAAATGACCTAACGCATGTGCACAGCACCACGAGTTGCCCGGCAGCCAGGGTTTGTGATATTGCAAAAGTACGAGTTCGCATTCCCGTTTCGGAAGGGATTTTAAATTCCCTGCCCTCATCCCCCGGACTGGGAAAACCCCTTAAAGCCTAAAAGGCGAGGACAAAAAAAAAAAAAAAAAAAAAAAAAAAGAGTTTGATCCATTGTGCTTGGTCCTGTGCAAGCTCTCTTCTCCTTCTCCAATCCAGATTTCTCTAACACCTTTTTTCTAGGTTTTCGTAGGGTGTTCTGGAATCCTTCTTCCATTCACTTTCAAGGCATAGGCCAGCCTAGCTATTCTCTCACCTGCCATCCGCGAGACATTTCCAAACCACCGCAGACGATTCTCCTCTAAGGTTTCATGCAGTGATTTTAGGCCAAAATTGTTCCTTATCGTCATGGCGTTTCTCACCCGGTCTTGGCAGGGTTTTCCTTCAATTTTTCGGAGGAATCTTATTTCCATGGCTTGGAGTTGACTTGTATGCATGCTAGTTAGGTGCTAGATGACTCACTGGAATAAGTTAGGGTAGAAAAAAAGGTCCTCTTGTATACTATCTTCTTCATATCTTATGGGACCTCAGGTTTTCTGACAAAATAATTTCGCAGAGCATTAAATAATCTCACTGCTGCAGCTATTCTCTCCCTTATTTTCCAGGCTATGATGTGTTGCTCATGAATATGGGCTTTTTTATTTGAACATTTCCACTGCTTCCAGCTCTTGGCCTTCTATCCTGATTATTCGGTCTTCAGGAACATGAGTTTTTCCTATTCTCATCACCTTTGACTTTTCATATTTATAGGGGCTAGTAATCTTCCTTTAGAATCCTGAGGTTAAACTGTAAGTCTCTTCCATTCTTACCAAATACCACTATATTGTCTGCAAAGGCAAATACATTCTAATGTACCACTTGCATGTTTCTATATTCTATGTGGAAACCCCTCATCTTGTTCTTGACATTCTTCAAGATAAAAGCTAACACCAAAATGAACAGGAGTGAGCTAAAGCTGCATCCTTGCTTGATACCGGTGGCAGCTCTAAATTATTTGCACCTGTTATAGCAGGTTCTAGCATAGTTTCTGCATTTAGCAAAGTGGCTTAATATTACTTTCTAAGATTCCAAGTGTCACACCTTTTTCTCTTGATGCCTTTTCAACATCCTGGACATTAACCCTGTCGAAAGGTTTGGTCAGATCGACAAAGCAAATATAGGCTTCTTTATCCTTATCTATGAGCTTCTCTGAAGTCTGTCTGATTGCAAATATTAGATCCTGGGTGCTCCTATTTTCCCGGAACCCATATTGTTCTTCGCCTAATAGTGGTTTCACAATGCTTTGCAATCTTTTTAAAGCCGCATCCTTGCTTGATACCGGTGGCAGATCTAAATTGTTTGCACCTGTTATTGCAAGTCCTAACATAGTTTCTACATTAAGCAAATAGGCTTAATATTACTTTCTAGAGTCCAAGTGTCACACCTCTTTCACTTAATGCCATTTCAACATCCTGAACATTAACCCTGTCGAAAGCTTTTATCAGATCGATAAAGCAAATATAGACTTCTTTATCCTTATCTATGAGCTTCTCTTAAGTCTGCTAGATTGCAAATATTAAATCATGGGTGTTCCTATTTTTCCAAAACCCATGTTGTTCTTTGCCTAATAGTTTGTTTGTTTCGATGTCTAGGCGCAAAACATCCAGGTCATAAGCGCTCCTAATAGTGGTTTCATAATGCTTTGCTATCTTTATTCTAAAATTTTTGAAAAAAAAAAAGACTGATGTTACTTTCGGACATACTCAGAAATTCATTTATACTTGATCATTTTTGTGCCTACCCATAAAAGTGGAGGTGCACTTGTAAGGTAATAACTGATAAATGATTGTTACCAATTATTTGATACCACTATGAAATCATAAATCTATTAATCAAATTTACTTCCTAACATAATATTTCTATATATAAAAAATTTATTCTAATTTTGGAATAATGTTACTTCCCTCTAAATTAATCCCGTTATAAAAATAAATGTTATTTTTTATCATTTTTTCTTGTCAACTGAATATTTTTGCTACATTTAGCTAAAAAATTGGCAACTTTCATTTTTTTGGGAAAGAAATAATTACAAAATTCAATGTGTAGGTTATTTATTTATTTTTAACTACAAAGAAGTTTAATAGGCAAATCAACACTGGATATTACTTAAAATAGTTTGACCTGACAAATGAGATCATATTATTGGAGTTTACACTCTTGTACTTCAGAATATGGTATGAATAAAAAACAAAAATCCAACAATTAATACTTTTATTTATACCATTAATTTAATGGTAAGCATTTATACATGTTATTAACCCTTAACTGTTCAAGGGTTAAAGAAAAGGAAAAAAAAATATTTTTATTAATATATTTGTCTTAGAATAAAACATTGAACTTTCATTTTTTTTTTTTTTATTGCATAATAAAAGTTTTATGACTGGTTCCTGGGGTACGCACTGGACAGCTGAGGTAAGAAATTTTAAAACATGTTTGGGTCTTGAGGTATCCCTTGGCTACCTTTTGGTAACTTTGATTTTTGTCTCTCTATAGGAACATACAGAATTTATTATTTATCATAAAATTATACTGAAAATACACTTCTGAATTAAACTTAAAAAAAAAAAAAATGCCTAGTAATTTGAGCCATAAATTCTTTTTTTTTTAGGATTTGATTTTTCCCCCTTTTTATAAAATTTGGTTTTATTTTCGAGTAGTTACACATCATTACGATGATTTTCTTAAATCACATCTGTACCACTATTCATTGCTACTATTTCACCACTGGGAAGTCCATTCTCAAATATATCTCATCTATCAAAAATATGTTATTATTATCGTCATCTTCTTTTTCTAATCCAACGTCAAAAAAATTATTGGATAACTCTCTATCCAGCTTGTGGTCAGAAAACAATGCATTCATTGAATGGGAAACGGCAATTTCTTTTTCATTGCCTTCTTCCTCCGCATTAGATGGGAACTTAATCTTCAGGTCAAGCGACAAAATCAACTCGCTCTGAGAATGAAAATTCTAAAAATACATTACGCAATTATAAAGACAAATAAATATGCTGATGTGTTTAAAATCAATAAAAAAGTGACACACTATTTGGAATGTAAACATTACCCCGCAGTTGGTCAAAGGGAACCTCAGTTCCCAAAAATAAAATTGCTGAGTATAATAAAAAAAATCTTATCACACTTGTTTATGTGTGAATTATTGCTTGTGAATTATAATTGAGCCAACTACATAAAGTACACAAGTAAAATATAAAAATACTTACTCCCTTGAAACTGAAAACCATATTAAGCCAGCTCCTGAAAGGTGACCGGTAGGTATCAGTAAACAACCTGATGAAGGGAGTGAAAATTGGCAGGATTCTTATCTATGATGCCCAGGGTTGGTTGTGAAGCAAGAAGGAAGTATTCTGAGGGCATTATTTCGGAATTATGTTAATCTAACCAATTTGGGAACTGCAGTGCCCATTGGCCAGTAAAGGGTTAAGAGACATTTCGGTGGTGGAATATTATTTTGGAATAAGTCTTATTTACACTTTATGGTTTGATAATTTATAAATGTCGTCTTATCTAGATAAACAGTTTATGTAAAGATCAACAAAAGGACAACTACATTAAACATTTAAATACATTTTGTATCAATTTATAATAAATAAGTCAGTCTTTATACAAAACATGATAAATACAACTTTTATTTTTGTTTCACTAACTGAACTCAAATCAGTCAACTTCATTGAAATAACAGTCACTAATTATTCAAGATGATCAATAAATTCCAATGCTCTCGGCAAGACCAGCATAAATTTTTAGAGTTGGAAAGGCCAGAAGCAACGTATATCCTGCTTTGATCAATAGAGCAATCCAAGGACATATTGCTGCCGGCAGAATCAGCTGTATCAAAAGTGGCTTGTATGATGAGAGAAGTAACATCGCTGTGACAATAGGAACTGCAGCTTTCGAGAGGTCATGCCTTGACCAAAGCCAAACAAGAGCCACAGTTGCAATATGATGGGCCTAGAAAACAGACATATAAGTGATGAATTGACAAATTATTGAAAAAAACTTTATAAAAAATAATATCTCGTATAATTTGACAGAAAGAAAAAAGTTTTATCATTAATAAATATATACACACAAATATATAGACCATTGCAGTTGGAACGGTTTGTTTCATGATTTTTCAATGTTTCATCATGTAATCCATATGTCATTATGCCAAACAAGGTTTCATAATTATTACGCCAAGTATAAATGTACATATGTTAAAGGGACTTTTCAACTCGAAACATTGGCTGGCAGGAAAATGATTCCCACCTGATATATATCGGGGTGAAGAAATGACTCCTACTAACAGAAGACTGTATTGGTTTGCACGTGAGAAGAGAGCGGCTGGTAAGCTAAAATATGTATAGATTTCGGTGGGTAGATTGTGCTACAGAAAAGAAGATGGCCATCCAGTGATATCTAGGAGAATTAGGATAGTAAGTTTTTGGTGTTCAATGGAGTTTTGGAGGTCATGGGCTATTTTTAGGAGGGCATATTGGAGTGAGTAACCAGGATGAAAGCCTGATTGGAGAGGGTTGATTAGGGAATGTTCTTCTAGGAATTTGGGAAGTTGGGTTTGGACGAGGCGTTCCAGCGGTTTTGAAAAGCAGGGAAATGGGACGGAAGCCATGAGATGAAGAAGGATTTGAAGTTTTATTTAAAAATCGGACTAGGGCGGTTTTCCAGGAAGATGGGAATATGGAGTTTTGCAATGAAAAGTTGTAGATATGGTAAAGTATGGGAAGACTGGATTTTATTAGTTTTATTGGAGTATTATCAAGGCCATAATCATTGGTATAAGATTTTAGGATAGCGGAAAGTAGTTCATCGTAGGACACATGGGAGAAAAAAAAGTCTGCCGGATTGAAATTGTGGTGCTCAATATCGTAAGTGGGAGAAGGATTAGAGGAGAAGGATAAGAAGTGATCATTGAGATCATCAATTGAGTCACATGGAAGAAACTGAGATTATTTGATTCTGGTAGGGATAGATTACGGAGTATTTTCCATTTGGGCATTATGGAAGTAGGTGGCTTTAGTTAGTCGGATTACGGACTGAGTACTATTGCAAAGTTTTTTGAAAGAGAAATAATCAATTGGCAGACGGGTTTGGCGATTTTTGCATCTTGCTGCATCCCTTGTTTTTATCATTTCCTTTATTTCAGGAGGCAGCCAAGGAGCAGTGAGGTGGCTAAAGGTTCTAGTTTTCAGAGGAGCATGGGTGTCTAATATGGATTTTAGATTTGAGGTAAGGGTATATACCATAGGTTCAATGGAGTTATAAGAATACATGATATCCGTTTGGACAGAATCAAGGTCAGGTTGAAGGGATTCATAGGAGAGGAGGTTTAAATGGTGGTATGAAACCATTTTGGGAGTAAATGATTTCACGGGTAAGTTGTATGTAATTTGGATTAGGTTATGTGATGAAAGAAATGGAATGGGATGTTGAGAAGAGGAAAGGATTTTGATGGGAGAGTCAGAGATGTAGATGTCTAACCAAGAGTCGGAAAATTGCGTGTGATGAGTGGGAGAATAAGGAATCAGAAAGAGATTAAGGAAAAATATCAGGTCAGTAAGGAAGTATTTTTGAGAACATTCTGTGAGCATATTTACATTAAAATCACCCGAGATGATGATATTGGAATAGGAGGAAACCAGGTTGACAAGTGACGATTCAAAGAGATGGACGAATGGAACAAGAGGAGGGTGGTAGACAACAACATATAATAAAGGTGAGGAAATAGAAGTAATTTCAACAAATATTCAACGTGAGGGAGTTCATGAAAAGGAGCCTGTATGAGGATTATGGCCTTAAGACTATCATGTACATATAGTCCGACACCACCCCCTGTGCGATCAGATCTGTCATGGCGTAGGAAAGAGTGATTGGGGAGGGAAATTCGGGAGGAAGGAATAAAAGGTTTCAGCTAGGTTCCAGATATTGCTAGTGTGTGGTAAAAATTATCAAGAAAATATTTTTGGAAAAATTTACATCTTTTTTTTTTTTTGAAGCACCGGATTCCTTAATTTTCATCTCGAGCAATTTTGGTTCTACTTAAACAATGTACATTTAATTTTTAAATACTTTGTTCCAACAGTAATTTATTATAAATGGGATTTTGAATGAATTGAATACATAACTTAGACAAATAGGTAATTGAATTTTAGGATGACAGATAGAGGTAGACTTCTGTAACTGAGCCACCAACCGGTAGTATTTACTCATTTATTGGTTATTATTTCTTTGGTTTAAACTCTTAATATAATAATGAATCAAAACTTCCAAATATAATACAAAATACTGAGATAATTCAAAAATAACCCTTTTGGGTTGAGATTTCAGATGAGATATTGGAAAGTAATTTTCTTTGCTTTAATAACTAATTAAGTATAACATTGATATTAAATTAATAGAAATGATGAAGTTTTTAAGTTTATAAATTGTTAAGAAATAGTTTATACATACTAAATTGATATTGGATTCGAGACTTTCTTGGATGTAACGCCAATGAAATTCAGCACCTCTGGCGCCAATCCATAACGGTACGAATCGTGTGAGAGCAGCTTCAGCTCCAGCCCAACCCAGGCCAGCAGTCAAAAGCTTTGCGTGCCCTTTTCCAGGAATATTTGATAATACTGCATAAAGTCCTACTAAATCAGCAAGCTCAACTGTACCTTTTAGCCATTCCTGTGAAACAATCATAACTATAAAATTATTTTATATTATAATTATAAAGATTATTTAGTATTAGATTATTTAGTATAGATTATTTATGATTGAAACATAAACTGTATTTAACTGTGGTAAACATTACACGATATATACTTCTTATAGTTCAGTGTTTTATCAGTAAATATTTGCTCAAGTAGAAGGAAATATTTGAAAAGTTGATAGCAGACATCAAGGTCTACAAAAAAGTTCACATAAACAATTGCCCAATTTCGAGCAGAAAAGTAGGAAATTTAATATATTTTTCGTTGAATAGGAAACGATAACTTAAAAAATATTTCATTTAAATAATTAAACATTGCTCCATAGTAAACTAGACAATATTAATTTTAAATGGAACTAGTGTTTGTTAAAACTATTTAAAGAGGACTATTGAGTGAATAAACACAGCTAAATTCCGTTTAAAAAAAGTCAAATTATTAGTTTTTATTTTATCATCCTTCAACCGTACCACATTTACCCCACTTTTAAAAAATATTCTTCGTTTTAAAAGTTTTAAGTCCCTATTAATTAGGTTGAAGTTTAATGGGAAAAATTTTGAGATTCACCTCAAAGTATGCAAAGAAATGATCTGATTTCCTATCCAGTCATTTTAAAGTACCCGTGTTTTCTGCAAAAATGACTACAACAACTGTTGAAAAAATTATATTCCTTGTTTTTTGATGAACTGGGGTGTATAGCAATAAATTTAAATGCATAAATACACTTTTTATTTATAAAAATAAAAAAAATTTTAAAAATGTTGCAAAAACTACAGAGAAATCTGTGTTACTAACTCTTTTACCAAAATATTAGGGAAACTTATAAGAAACGAATTAGACATAGGTTTCAGGGTTCAGAAGACCAATGTGGATTTACAGTGGGAAGATCGTTGACCATATATTCACTCTGAGGCAATTGTTGAAGAAACATCAAGCCGTTAGAGACATTGAACTAATATTTATAGACCTGGAGAAGGCGAAGAATTCTAAAGTGACAAACATAATATTTCAACCTCTAATATTTATGTTTCCATGAAAACAATTGAAGCAATCAGTAGCTTTTTTTATTTGAAACCTGAATTTTTGTAAATTTTTGAAGAAACTTGGCTGTGTTTGTCCGCCCAATAGTGCTCTTTAAATAGTTTTAGCAATTAAAAACTCTACTTTCTTTAAAAGTAAATTTTGTCTAGTTTAATTGGAGCAATGTTATATTACTTAAATCAAATATTTTTCAAGTTATCGCTTCCTATTCAACAAAAAATGCGACTCACTAAAAAAAAAACACATATCTAAAATTTCTTACTTTTCTGCTGGAAATTGTGCAATTGTTTATATGAACTTTTTCGAAGATCTCAATGTCTACTTTCAACATTTCAAATATTTCCCTCTACTATATACCATCCTCAGATATTTTGGTTTTTCCCAGACTGTTACTTTTACAAAGTGCATTCAAATTGGTATGGGACAGCTTTGGCAACACAAAATTAATTAACTAAATTAATAATAATTTAAAAGCCAAAATACCAGAAGATGACACATATAAAGCCAGAAGGTAACAAATAGAGGGAATAATGGCGGGTTTAACTTATTTATCCTTGTGAATTTATGTTATATACTTCATTAAAATAAATTGAAAAAGATCAATTTACCCCAAATATATCAACATGCCCATGGATATTGGTCTCTGTCGTGGGAAAGAATGTAGCTAAAAGCAACATTTTACACAGTTGCGTAATAATATAAATACCACCAGCCTGTATACATTTCCAAAATGCTCCATATTCAGATCTGAAACAATTATAATACAATAAGGTTAAGTTATTGTAAAACACTTCTTTCATAGAAAAACTACCCTTAACAGTCTTAATACTAATCATACTCTTCAGCATTTACCTCAAAAAGTTCCATTTAATTTAAGTTATTTTCATACAAAATGTGTAAATATGAAACCGAAATTCCTCCATAGATGGCTGTAATTGCTGATGTATTTACCACTAAACTGCAACCATTGGCACCATTTCGTTATTTTGACAGGTAACAAAGATTTTCAATTCAGAACAATACAGATTTCATATAACAGCATTGTTTTAATAGTATTGAACATACTGAATTTTGTGCCTATAAACCATGATTTTATGTTACCACTTAAAGAAAACTGCAGCAGAATCACATTGTATACCAAAAAATAAAACACAAAGTGATTTTAATTCATGATAATGAATCTTATACACTGTAAAAGTAATGAAGGAAATGACTGAAGTGTTCAGTTGGGATATAATAGTGCATACCAATTACTCACCAGACTTGGTCTTATCTGACTACTATTTAATTGCATCAATGGGGGTCGCACTTGCTAAGCAGTCCTTCATTTCTTATGAAAATGGCGTGATGATTGGTTTTTAACTGAAGAGTAACAGTTTGGTCAGGCATGGCATTCACATATTGCTCTCTGGCCCATGACATCTCTTTAAACGGGAAAAATGTACAGCTAATGCTGGACAATATTTCACATAATTTTTTTTAACCATTTTTAGATAATAGATGTGTATTATCTATACGTAAATTTTAGTTTCATATTTACACACATGATATCCTTTCACCAGATAAAGAAAACTGCTATTTTGACCTACACTGAAAGAACACCTTACATTAATTTGAAAAGGTCTATGCGATTTTTGTAAAATTCACTCACGGCTAACTCATGAGCACCTAATGACAAAGGGGACACCCTCAATGTCTCTACTGCGTCCATTTAACAGTCAAGCACATATTGACTGAATTTTATGCATATGAAGCACAACAAAATAAAGTGGAATTGAAAAATATTGAAAAACACAACCAAAATGGCAACAAATTGTTTTTATTTCTTCAATTAACACAACTTTGAAGAATCACCTTTCTTTACTCCAAACCCCTACCAAGTGCTTCAAAATGACAAAGAAGTAATGGAGTCTGCAGCAATACCCAGAGAACCAAAGCCTCCTCCGATATTTGTGAAAAATATAAAAAATTTCCAGATGTTCTGCACCCAACTAAATAAAATCTGCTCTGGCAGTTATTCATGCCTTAACAGGACCAATGACACCAAGATAACACCTGATTCTGCAGAAGCCTACCGAAAAATAGTGAAGTACTTATCAGAAACAAATGCGAATTTTCACACTTACCAGCTGAGGCAGGAAAGAGCTTTACGAGTGGTGATAAGAAATTTACATTCCTCAACCCCCACTGAAGTTATTAAAGAAGAACTAACGACGCTTGGTTTCAATGTACGCCAGGTAACAAACGTTTTGAAGGAGGACAGGGAACAGCCAGGATTACGAAATAGGATCCCACTACCATTGTTTTTCGTGGACTTGGAGCCATCACCAGGTATCGAAAAAATATATGATATCACAAGAATATACTATACAATGGTGAAAGTTGAGAAGCCATATCCCAAGAGAGACATCGTGCAGTGCCATAATTGTCAGACCTATGGCCACACGAAGACATATTGCCACCATCTGCCGCGTTGCGTGAAGTGCGGTGAACAGCACAAATCTGTAGAGTGCACCAAACCTATACAAGATCCAGCAGTATGTGCCCTATGCTTGGAGGGACACCCGGCCAACTACAAAGGCTGCCAAATTTACAAGAATCTCAAAACCAGACACCAGAAAAACCGGATTCAAGATGAAGCACTAAGAACAAGAAGAGAGAGAGAGCCTTCCAGAATTGTAAACAATGATGTATCATTCTCCCAACTACTTAGAGGTAAGACTTTAACCGATAAATGTCAAGCCCTGCCACAACAACAACCTCAAACCCAACCTCAAAATCCTCTTCATCCTAATATACCTAACCACCAACAACAAATTCCTCATATTCCTCCTCCTTCAAATGCAACAGATCTCACAAGTTTGTTAGCATCTTTCCTCACCGATTTCAAATCCCTTGTTACTCCACTCATATCACTCCTCACGAATCTCGTATCTCACCTCATCCCTCCTTTGAAAAATCCTTAAATGACTCACATCCCTAAACCCATATCCATTCTCCTTTGGAATGCGAATGGTGTTAGAAATCATACAGACGAACTATCTACTTTACTACTTGACAAGAACATTGATGTGGCACTAATTACTGAAACTCGACTAACCACTAAACAGCACTTCAATATACCACAATACCTGACATATCGTACTGACCACCCTGACGGAAAAGCACATGCCGGTACTGCTGTAATTGTACACCAATCCCTCTCCCATCACCTACTCCCATTACCAATACATGATTTCCTACAGTCCACCGCTATCGTGATAAAAACCTTCTCCTTTCCGGTCACTCTTGCATCAGCGTATTGCCCTCCTAACCGATCCATATCCAATGCCCAATTCAGTTCTCTCCTCGACTCCTTAGGACATCACTTCATCTTGGGTGCAGACCTAAATGCCAAGCACCAACAATGGGGTTCCAGAACCACGAATTCTCGTGGCCGAACCCTGCTGTCTGCACTCAATTCCCAACGTTTTCACCTCCTTTCCCCCAACTCTCCTACCTACTGGCCCACAGATCCCAACCGTAATCCTGATCTTCTTGATTTCTTTATCCACAGCGGCTTAAGTCCCCTCAATTGTTCCATTACACGTCTAAATGAACTTTCCTCTGACCATAGTCCTCTAATCCTTAATGTTTCACTTGAACCTGTTCCCAAACCTTCTCCACCGTCATTCATTAGGGGCCCAGTAAACTGGGACCTTTTCCGCCAAATAATCTCCGATAATATTGATCTCAACATATCCCTCAAAACTCCCGATGACCTTGATAGTGCCGTAAATTCCTTTACTACCACAATCCAACAAGCCGCCTGGACTGCCTCCTTTCCAAAAGACTCCTCCAGAATTCCTATAAAGACCATTCTACCCCAACACCTCCTTAACCTAATCCGCACCAAACGCCGTGCCAGATTATTATGGCAACGATCCCGACATCCTACCGACCGCTGCTCCTATAATTACTACTGCAAACAATTAAAACTGGAATTAGCCACCTTCAGATCACAATCCTTCAACTCCTACCTATCCTCCCTCTCTTCTCGCGACAATTCCCTTTGGAAAACCACAACAAAAATCCTAAATCCTCACCGCATTTCCCATCCTCTCCGACGAGGTGATGGCTCCTGGGCAGCATCTGACGAAGATAAAGCTGAGGAGTTCGCCATTCACCTATCCAATACATTTATTTCACATCCGGAATCCCATCCTGCCCACACCGTAACAGTAGAAGAACTCCTTACATCACCAATCCCACTTTCCTTGCCCCCAAAAGCTATTCATCCTTCCGAAGTAAAATTTCAATTAAAAAAACTAATCCTCCGTAAAGCTCCTGGACATGATCTCCTTACACCTCAAATCCTTCGACAACTTCCATCCAAAGCAGTCATATTCCTTACATATATCTACAATTGTATCCTACGCACCACCCACTTCCCTCTGTTATGGAAACACTCCACTATTATCCTTTTCCCAAAACCAGGAAAACCTCTCAATAGCTCAACATCCTATAGACCAATCAGCCTACTCCCAATCCTTTCAAAAATTTTTGAAAAGATCCTTTTGAAACGAATCCTACCCATTATAGAATCCCAAAATATCCCTTCCCATCAGTTTGGTTTTCGCTCTCAACATTCTACTGTTCAACAAGGACTCCGAGTCGTTGATCATATTTCCTCAGCCCTAGAAAACAAGGAATACTGTTCGGGTGCCTTTCTGGACATTGCACAGGCATTTGACCGGGTATGGCACTCCGGACTGCTCTCCAAGCTTAAAATCCATTTACCTCAGTCCTTGTACCTAGTCCTCCGATCCTACCTCTCTGACCGCTCCTTTCGAGTTCGCTGTGGAACAGAATTTTCCAATATCTACTCCGTTAAAGCCGGTGTTCCCCAAGGCAGCGTCTTGGGTCCCGTGCTTTACATCCTCTTTACTGCTGACATCCCTGTTCATCCCGATACTTTTCTTGCAACATTCGCTGACGACACCGCAATCTTATCATCCAACTCTGATCCCGAAATAGCATCCTTAAATCTCCAAAGTCATCTCACCTTGATTGAGCACTGGTGTAATAACTGGCGCATTAAAGTTAATGAATCTAAATGCCAACACATTACTTTTACACTCCGACGCAATTCCTGTCCACCAGTACTCTTTAATTCCATCCAGCTTCCTTATTCAGACACAGTCCGGTATCTTGGCTTTCATTTAGACCGAAGACTAACTTGGAACCCGCATACTAGACTCAAAAGACAAGAACTCAACCGACGATACGGCCAACTATACCGACTACTAAGCAGAAAATCTAAACTTTCCATTGAAAACAAGCTACTGATCTACAAGACAATACTGAAACCTATTTGGACTTACGGACTAGAACTGTGGGGATCAGCAAAATTTTCTAACATCAAGCGCATCCAATCCTTCCAGTCTAAAGTCCTTCGAACAATAGTCGATGCTCCTTTCTATGTATCCAACAAAACCCTACATCATGACCTTAACATCCCATTTGTCCTAGACCTTATCCCAGAAAAGTTCTCCAAATTTCACCAGAACCTTACTTACCACCCAAATCCTCTTGCACAATCCCTATCAAGCATCTCCCATCCCTATAATCCTCCAAGAAGGTTGAAACGGCAGTGGCCTCGCGACCTTTTGTAAATTATATAAATTGGAGTTCTGGCAATGGCCAGATTCTTCACTCAAGACATGTGTGTATGTGGCTAAAGTGCTCTCGACCAATCTCCGCTGGCTTTAGTACCAGTGACGCGGTTGGAAGAGTAGCGCAGGGTTCTCCTGGAGTTCCCTCGCCTGATTGTATATAGGTATGCATGTTATTTTTTTTTTTTTTTTTCCTTAGTTTTAATTTTCTTATTTTTTAGGTTATTTTATTTTATTGTCTATTGTATATACTTTTGATTATTATTTTGTTCTATTTATTTTATTTTTTTGTACATATGGTGTGAATGTCATCCTACCTCACTATAACCAATGTCGAACAGACAGATTGTTATAATACTCAATAAAGAAATTAAAAAAAAAAAAAAAAAATTAACACAACTATTTAACAAAATTCAACTTTTACTTACACATTTTTGGAAATTTTCATGTTTTAAATATTTCGTACTTTAAAATTTATTGTTAAATTTAATTTTATGTATTGGAATGAAAATACTGTGTAAGGGCTAAAATGACCCATAAGAGATTGAGGAGCCCTCCATTGATATTAATAAAATTAAATCATTTTTATAGGGTTATTATAAATATGAATCGGTATTTCATGATAGCCAAGGCTAAAGATCACCAACGATGAAAAATAAATGAACTGGAGGAGAGATATTTGGCTTTCACATGGCTGGATTTAAAAGTAAACACCACTCTTGAAAACTAGTCTCGTTCATAATGCTTTCAGTGAACGAATTGGTGAGAGATTCATGTAGGTAACTAAGATATGGATTCAATTACAAGAAAATTATAGCTTATATTTAAAAAGTAAACTTAATGAGTGACTCGACTTTTAACTTTAAAAGGTAAAAAAAGAACATAATTAGTTTTGAGCCAACTTTTTCACTTCTGAACTTTATACAAGGACTGGATGTTCACTAACCTAACTTATTATGCCTAAACAAATATTAAAGAGTTAAAAATGTTACAGTCCTTACATTATAAGACTCCTGACACTTTTTTTAAATGCAAGTTTGCTTAAAAACTACGGGTAAAAATCCATTCGTGGGATATAAACTGATTAAGATGCAAGGACAAATAAAAGCAATTTACATGAAATGAATATTATACCACTACAATTACTATGTAAATATTTTACTTACAGCCCTGAGTATTTGTATGTAAGATGATAGGGTACATAAACTAAGGCAAGGCAATTACCAAAGTGATACAGAGTCATTACACTTAATATATTTCACTATCCCAATTCAAAATTACATGAAATCAAAAATGATTTGTAAAAGAGGATTGGAAAGCAGGTTATGATATGATAACAATCCAAAGAGGTCAGAGTTGCTCACCGGTTAACCTTATTAGCTTAGGTAAAGTTGAGCGAGTAAAATAAAAAAAAAATAAAAAACATTAAGTAAATATTATTTTGTACTTATTACTCTCTTGATAACAAATAAAAAATATTCAGTGATATAGTCCGTTCCTACATAATTTACTTTATAAAAATATGTATGTGGATAGTGCTGCTCTCTATTGATAACAACTAAAACTATTTTTTCCTTGATTGATTGGTGCTGCCATCTTTTGACTATTTTATAAAAAAAATAACTGGGTTTCATGTATTTTATCAACTAGATGTTCTGTTCAGTTGCATTCGTTAGTTTAAAATAAGCATTGAAAACCATTATTCGAAGAACAAATAAAATAAATCATTTTCTATTTTGCAGTTCAAATTAAATTTTAAAAAAATTAAAGCATTGTAAAGATTAATTAATTAATTCATATATAATACAGAATGGCAGAACATTTTTTTCATCGACGAGACTACAAGGATTAAAATATTTTTAGATCAATATGTGTCAAAGGAGAGGAGAATCGCACTAGTGCGATAGTACTATTGATTATCGCCAGCCCTTTTAACAGATTTGGTCATATCCTAAAAAGAATAATTCGTCATTTCATTGATAATTACTCAGTTAAATAATTATTGTCGGACAGGCCAATCTCTCAAGGTTGTAATAAACCTAATAAATGATTGTAATTAAAGTGTAAAGACATTTGTCTAGAAAGCCTGAGTGTTTTCTGTCAAATCTCAACTCTTGCTATTATGACATGTTATAAACGCAATTTATATTTATACATTAATTAGGCAATTAATAACACATTGTCTGGACAGACTGAAGGTACTTTTATATTCTCAGTCTGAAAGACAATGTTTTTTTTTTCTAACCATCAAAACGTTTATTTAATTAAATTACAAATATAAATATAACAATACTAATATATACAAATAACAAAGTCATTCCACTGCTGGAGGGCAAGACAATATATTTCAGATTTTTTTTTTTTCTTAACCCCATATGTTGTGGTGTTGAGAACAGAGTGGTAATACGAGGCTTAAACAAGAACTCTTGTACTGCACAGAGTGCATTTTAAGAGGAGGGCAGGGAATTGGGAGTGCTGTGGTTATTCCTAGTTATGGTTTGTCTTAGTGTAGTGACGGGGTTCCTAGGACTAGTGTCCTGTAAATGGCAATTTTTTCAGTTTAGTAGGTTTTTAATATATGTCTGCCATCTCATAGGTTTGTGAGTAAATGGAGTAAGTGTTTTAAAGAGTGGGTTTATCGAGTATTTAAGGCTATCAAAGAATTTCATATGCCTGCGTGTAATGAAGTCGCCCGCCCACCTTCGGTAATTCGAGGGTGGTATGTAGTAGGTCCGTACGTGTTTTTTGTAAAGTCGTGTGTCTTACTATATTTCTCAGCACACGGTTCTGAAACTGTTGCAGGTTTTTCGATATTGCGGTGATATGTTAGTGAGTTGGTGCTCCATAAATGAGTGCCGGTCTTAGAATACTCTTGTATATTGTTAATTTGAGGCGGAAGGATAAGTTAGAAGAAGTTAACAGGTGGTTGAGCCTGTATGACTTGGTCCTTACCACTTTTAATTTCTTGTAACAGTGGGAGCCAGTGTTAGGTGCCTATCGATGGTAACACCTAGATATACTATACTGCTTGTCCGTCTGTCCTCGCTACCCGCTGCCTTATAGACCTTAGGCAGAGGTCGCTTATTCTTTTGAAAGGAAAAATAATGCAGGCTATCTTCTATTGATTAACTGCAATATTTAGCCTTTTCAGTTTGTGAGTAATTTTTTCACAGGATTCCTCCACCTGCTGTAGAGCTGTCTCTGCGCTGATTGAGCTATAGCAATGTCATCGGCGTATGCCGCTACAGTTGCTTTCTTGTACTTCGCTCAAACAGTTTCAGCAGTGTAAATTGAAAATAGTACTGGGGAGAGCATAGACCCTTGGGAGACTCCGCAGGTGAGTGGGATGTTCTGTATTTTAGACAGGCTAATTAATATATACATAGCATTTATAACATGTCGTGTTGGCCTGAGCCTTCATTGGTACAATTAATGAATAATATTCACAAGATGATGTAATATACTATCCTAACTGTAGTGTTATACTCTGATAAAGAATATGACATATTATTTTTTCTCACGTAATGTGCAACGATCTTATCTGAAAACCATTATTTGATCGATAATCAATTAAGTGTAAAACTTTATAACATTCCTAGGATATAAATTGTTATTGTAGCACTCTATAACTGCAAGTCGTTCGACTTTGTGATATTAAACGTAAAACTTGATGGCAGTGCTGTTGAAAGTGTGTTGTGTTGTTTATTCTCTTCACCCCTCCCCTAGATTTAAAGATTTTTTTTCCATTTTGGTTTTTACTTTTTTTGTTTTTTTAGGTTGCAAAAGTCGTCTAAAGAGGATTTTTTTAAATGTATTACTAAGTGCATCCGTCATTTTATCCATGAGTGAGAAAAAAATGAGATTGAAAATATGCTTTCAATATTTTTTCTTATTAATTCCTTTACCAAATATGGAATGCTATAAGATCATAAAAAGATGTTTCCATGAACAAGTAGCTTTGTTACATTGTCCGTTAGTAAGATAATTTGAGCATAAAGTCGATTAAAAGGTGGTCTTCAAACATATTGAGCCATTTGGCGTGACCTACACCCCAAAATTGTCAAAATAACGAGATTATATAAGCCAAACGGCCTAATATTTTTGTAGGCCACCTTTTTTTCTTTCGATTTTTTAGTAAAATTATCTTACGATCCAAGAGGAAAGCAAATAGGTATTTACGAGTTTTTAGTACCTTATGAAATAAACAAAGTTTGCAGATCTCCAGATTGAAAATTTCGAGAGTATTTAGTAAAATATTTGTAGGTTATGATGAGATGAAGCTATTTAGGAAGTTTCTGGTGGATGTTAATAATTTGATAAAATGGGGTCTGTACCATGGAATCAGAGTGGTCCCAGCTGGATTAAAAATTTGGAAAGCCAAGAAGAACCCTTCATACTGTCAATAAGAAAACAAACATTTTGAGCTTACAATTTTAAATTTCTCTTTTTATTATTAAATGCTTATTACTGATTTATCTGTTTAATTTTGTTTGCAATCATTAATTTGATTTGAGATTTCTAATAATATAACTATTTAAAGTAATGTTAAGTATATTGAAATGGAAATATTAAATAAATAAACCTTTTTTATAATTTACATTCCTTTTTTTTAGAGGTATAATTTTAGTTATAATAATATAAAAATAAGAATTACTAGTTTAGTTTTAAGATTGGCTGATTTAGGGACTATTTTTTTTGTTGACAAAATGATTTTTAAAAAAATTAACATGTAAACAATTTGACTAAGTTGAAAATAAACTGGTAAATAAAAAATAAATAGATTTTTTTCAGGAACAAGTAAAATAAGTTGTGATAAAGTAAATTAATTCTTAAGAAATGACAAGGAACAAAACAAAAGAATTATGTAGAATTAAATGAATATTAAAATATATACCTATTTAAAATTTACTTTCTTATAATAGCAATAGATACAATTAAATTAAGTAAATCTACAATATAATCATTGTATAAAAATAATATAAATGTGAGAAAGTAATTAAAACAGTTTGAATGTAACCCATTCTCAAACGATCTCATATGATTATTCAGTATCAATTGATGTAGATTTGGAGGACTTGAAAAAACAGAATCAAAGTTATTCATGTTTGGTTAAGTGTCCAATATTAACTGGTTATTATAGAAAAGTTGACAGTACAGCTAAATATTTTTTTATTTCCGAACCACTATATGATGGTGGAACTATGTCACCAACTTGTAAAGATATACAGATAAAAAATGTGCTGATGGCTGGTAATTGAAATTACTTACATGTGCTATCTCTACCTGTTTTGATTTTGTGTAAAACTTAAAGCAAAAAGACACTTGAAAAAAATTCTGATCATAACCTTTATACGAAAGTCTTATCTAAAACTAATGAGAGGTTTAAATGATTATAACACAGTTTAAGGCCTCACACACAAACTTTATTTTCAAATTATTAACAACTATTTTATTTTAATTTTTTTGGTTGATTTTTTTTATTCGCCCTAAATATATGAGATACATCAACCAGAAATTATTCATTGTTGGAAGAACTACTTCTGCTTAATCTACTTATTTATTTAATAATTTAAAATATCAAACAGTTTTAAATAATACAAACTTAATATTATAAAGAAAATATAAAATGCATGTTTTAGAGCACAATTTACCATTTAATGAATAATTTTGTAAATATATTACAAAAATACATATAATTACAATATTTTTTTCAGGCAGGTACAAAATTTCTTATTACTAAAAAATAAAAAAATATTTTTTACAGGATTCACTCTTTTCATTGATTTTTTTCTAAATATTTACTATGATCACCTTATATTCTTATAAAAGCTTTATATAAAAAATACGTAGAAAACATGTTTTATTACATTGACAAATTTAAATAAACACAAAATTAAATGTGAATTAATTCTTATCAAATTTGTCTTTCTTTTTTTTTTTTTTTTTTTTTTTTTTTTTTTTTTTAATTTCTGCTTCTATGATTATTTGTGATATAGTTCATTTTTTAAAAATGTTTAATGATCTTTGAGAATATCTAAAATGTATTTTGACATTAACATATTCTATAATTCAGAATTTTCACAACATTCTTCAATGGCATATTTAAATATTTTAATTCATCATAAAATATTTTGAAAAATTTTATTTACATATTTCTTATTCCTTGAATTATATTTTATTGTTAATAATCAATTTCAATTCACAATCTACCAATTAATTCATCAATTATTTTTATTCCTTTGGTAACAGTCTTCATAAATGCTGAAATAATTATATAAATAAATTATAAACTAATTCTTGATGTCTTGGACCATCTCTGTTCTATTTCTCAATCAGATTACTGGAAATTGGTGATTTCGGAGGTACGCAACAAAGAGGATTTCCTATAGGATGTTCTTCGGTGGGACAATAAGGAGCCTCATCAGTATTTACACAAAATAGTCCCTCAACCCTGAAATTGTCAAATGTTTAAGTAACTTTACTGCATTTCATTAATTACAAAAATAAATATATAGAGAGTAAAACCACCAGTTGTCAGCACCCCACCCAGTTTTCAGCACCTACGACAGTTATTGAAGAATATTAAGCATTAGGGATGGTCTAGAGCTGGCAAAAGGCACTCATTTGAACTGGCGATCCTTCCTGCACTCACATATTCTAGCAACTCCCTTTATTCATTTAGTTTTATAGGTTGAAAAAATCACTGAAGATTAGAAAACCAACAGGCATAACCAAGGAAAGATGTGTCTTTTTTTTTTTTTTTTTTTAGAAACACAAGTTTCTTGCACAACATTGTAGTTCTTTCATTCTGAAGGCTGCCAGATTTAATTCTTTAGGTTTTTGAAAATTGAGTAAGGGATGCCAAAAATTGGTACCTCAAGGTGGTGAAAATTTGAAAAATACTGCCAAAAATTGGCACACACTGATATTTTTACATGTTTCCATTTTAGTATAAAAAAATAAATGAAAACCACTATTTTCCATATGTATTTTGGAATTAGAGATCTTAACTGACTTAAAAGAACCACAATTGATGAAACAAGTATGCACGTGATTGAAAATGAGACAAACTCTTTTTTTTTTCTTTTTTCTGAGAAGTTGTATGTTATTCTGTTTTTGGCAATAGTAACTTCCAATTAAATAACAATCGATTTATTTGTTATATTTCCAAGTTTACATGTTTATGTTTCGGTAAAATTTACTCCCATCTTCAGAACTATAATCCCATATTTCTTTGTCAATTCATGGCTAAAAATGAGTTAAATATAATGCATGTCAGAATTGAGTTGTTACATTAAATTTTTAATTACCTTAAATAATGTACTTCAGTACTCATTTTAAAGTTTCGTTTAGAGTGCCGAAAACTGGGGGTATTACTCTAGTTAATTTAAATTGATTATATCAATTAAGGCATGAGATTATGATATCAACCATGTCCATTTCTCAAAATTTGTTATTATTATTTATCTATTTAATAATTTTTATGCTAAATTATCACAAAGTGAAAGGATTTCTTCATGCACAAAAACTGTTAACAATACAATGATAAATCTCAATGCAATTATCTTATAAAACCTTTGTCATTTCGACAACCAGTTACAAAATAACAATTAAAAGTAATAAAGGAAGCAAATAATGTTGATAATGTATTTGTGATCATAAAATATTGATCATATAATAAAATTATAATGAATTTCATAATGACTAAAATTCATAATGACGCTCGTATTTTAGTATGAACTTAAGTTCAATACAGTTTTCAACCAGCTTGATTTTGTATAATTTTTAATATGTTGGTCAATGAAATAATATTGAAAATGATAAGCATAAAAATTGTATTATTAATCATTATTTTAGCCTTTAAAGAAATTAATTATATTCAATCAAGAAATTAACAGTATTTAATAAAAAAAGGCAGTTTAAATGTATGTTTATTAAATTTCATTAATTAAAATTTATTTCATTATAAATATACTGTTTTAAAAATGTTCTTTCTTGTGCATTCTAACATCATATTTCATATCTAACTTCTTAATTATGAGTTATATTTGGTTCTTTTACCAATCAGGGGTTTGATGCCCAAGGGGTACAGGGAGACCTCTACGGTCCCAAGAAGGCCTAATTGACCCTGTCAAACACCTTCGCAGACATGGAGAACCTATCCTCGCCCTTGCGCCGTCTAAACTCTCTGCTAGCCAGCAAACACTCCTAATGTGTGAGCAGAGAGACTCATCTGAAATAAAAATGTAAAAATTTCAATCCATAAAGTCCAAAATTAACTAGATTTATTTTTATTTAATCATTTTCTGGTAATAATAGTATAAAACATCTAGTTAATGCATGCCAATATTTCTTATAACATATTGGTCAGTAAAGAATTGATAATACCATATGGAAATAAATAAATCCAATGTATTTTAAGAGGGAGAAATAGTTTTTAATTGTTGGTTGATTACAATTGCTCATTCAATATAATAAACTAAAACATGTAAACAAATTAGAATTAGCTGTATATTTGTATCTTGTGACGAAGTGAGTTGTTAAAAAAACAAACTTATTTGTTAGAAAAGAAATTCAAGCATAGAAAACTAAAAAATAAAATAACGTCTATTAAAATTTATTATATTTCATTCCAAAAATAAATAATTAAAAATGTAGTTTAATTATTTTTTCCTGTTTCTCTGTTTATGGACACTGAATAACTGAAGAAGACTATTGGATGGTGAACAAATTTTGAAAAAAAAAAAATCAAATTAGAATAATTGAATTCAAAACCTAAAGTCAAGATTTTAAAAAAAGATTAATTTAAAACAAGAAAATATATTTCCAATTTCAAAATTTTTTGTGTTAAACTTCAAAATGTTTAGATATTTAGATTAAGGTTCCTCAATATGCATATGTATTTTTAATCGGAAATATAAATTAAAATACTCAATAAAATGTATAAAAAAATTATTTTAAAATATTGTTGAATACTTACATCAGATTCCATTGTAAATAAATAAATAAAAAAGGTTAAATTACAAAAAATGAAATTATAAGCTTAGGTAGTATTTATATGAGAAACTGACTTGTAGCATTCGCACAGAAAGGTTGAGACCTGGCACCATTAACACAAAAATCAACATGACCACTTCTTCTAGCATCACCGAATGTTGAACTAGTATGGATCACTTGAACCACCTTGGCGTCACCAGCGTCTAGTCGACCTTGGAGCTGGCTACGAATCAAAGGTCTAGCGGGGTCTATTCCTGTTAAAATTAATTTTAAATTAAGAAATATTGACGTCAAAAGTATTGATGTGATTTAATGTAAATGATAATAATTACATTTGGGTAATAAGAATATATATTTATAGTTTCATACCTAAAAATGTACTGAGTTACATAGCCTAATTTTATATTGTTAACAATCTATTCATTAATCATTTATTATTGAGTAACAATTTGTTTTAATATTGAAATTATAACTTTTATTAACAATATATAACTATGATATATGTAACCTAAGACTGTATTGCTAAATATCATTTACTTTTTAATTATCTCAGAGAATTAGGGACAAGATCATACAGAACATCTTCCACCGTTGAATGCAAGAATTTTCCAGTGGATACAGGAATAAAAAAAAAAAAAGCCTACGGTAAAAATATCTTTTTTTCTCGTTTAAAGAGAGATAATTTTATTATGAATTAATATTTGTTGTATTAAACATAAAATGAATAATTACGATCTACATAATAGTGCAGAGATGGTTGACCGTGATATAATATGAGAAGGAGTTGGTCGGGGGTGCGGTCAAATAATTATTAAATTTTTAAAATAATATTTTAATCGTTATGCCAACTCTACGACCCACTTTGCAGGTCTTCATCAAGGGAGGAGGGGACGGGGTAGCCGAATAGGCTAAGGTGTGTGCATAGCACAGCGAGCTTGGAAACCTAATAACCAAAGTTGGAGACAATAAAAATTAAGAGTTCATATCCCGGTGCCTTGAGGGTCTTTCCTGCCCTCACCTCCTGGCCTGGGAAAACCTAAAAGGCAAGGTAGGAGAGAGGGAGAAAAAAAAAAGTCTTCATCAGGGCTAAAGAAAGATGATACAATATACAACAGGTACATGGTGAAAATAAAATAAAGGAATTATAAGTACATATTAAATTAGAAACGGTTGTCTCATAAAGAAATAATAAGATGACATCAGAGATATAGTGGGTAACAGGGTAGTTAAAATATCATGTATTACATATATAGAATATACAAACAAAAATAGAAAATTAGTGTGAATAAAAATAGAAAACAAAGGTGAATATAGCTTGTAAGTTAAAAAAAACAGATTGTGATAAATTTTCAAATAATATTTTTTTAAATTTAGTATTTATTTGACCGCACTTCTCAAATATCATCTACAGTTAATTTAAATAATCTACAATGATTATGGTAGTAATGATGAAAGCACTGTCGAAGAGGACTCAAGGGAAGCTCCATTGATCCTAACATTGGTGCCATTACAAACAAATTTTTCCAATTGAAAGATATTCATACTTTTCGTAACTATGTCCAAATTTCAAACTTTTGTTGGATACACTCTTGTTTACAGAATTTTTGGATTACTTTAAATTTTCTTACTGTTGCTGTTGATAACTTTTTGATTTGGAGTTTTAGTAACTTTAGTTTCAATTTATTATATTATTTAACAAATTTACTGAAACATACATTGGTTTTTGTATTTATAAGCTTGAATTTTTTTATGTTGATGAACATTCTATACTATATGAGATATATGAGATATCAGGGGGTACAAACAGTTATTTGAAAAGTGTAAGTTGTTCACAGTGACTTAAAATATAGAAATCCTTGAGATAGAGGTTAGAGGATAAATAAGAATATGATACTAAGTTGTAAATTAATATGAATCAACTAAAAATTGAAATAAAATTCAAAATTAGAATGTTTCTGTAAGGTGTTGCTGGGAATACTGAAATTTTCAAGTAGTAAATTAATTTTATTTTTCTGAAGCATTAGTAATTAACTATTTGATTTAATCTATGAATCATTAATAAATTGGTCATTAATAACTTTAAAGTACCAATGATTCGGTGCATTCTGAAGAAAAGGTAATTTGAAGCGATTCCGCAGACATGGGCACCTAGGCTGTGCCCAACGCAAGTGGTTCTTGAAGTTTCAACACCCGCATCTCTGAGGAAAGTAAGGAAGGCAGCTACACATCGAGAAACTGGTTTCATGTTATGGACAGCTGCTGCGTAGCAAGGCACTCTGGACAGTGGGCTCCAATCCACGGTGTACACGTTGAAGGAACCATTTCTCAAGTAGGCTGGAAATGAAATATGAAAAATAAAGCTTGTGTTCAAATATAAATTTTATAATGAATATAAATGATAGAAATATTTAAATAATTATATCATTAATTAATGTTGTCTTAAATAAGATAAATAAGAACAAAAAAAAGGAAAATAAAAAATAATAATAATAAAATAAAATATTAGTGAACTGAAAAATCGGATCCAGTAGGACATTCTCTGCTCCCCAAAGAGGGCAACATTTTTAAATTTAATTAATTTAAAGTATAAAGTGTCCTTTTTTCAAAATTAGTTTCTTTTAAAATGTTGAAACACTAACAGTCAACCTGTCATAGACTATAACTTTAAGGAATGTTATACTCTGTGGTATTTTAAATTTACTATGATTGATTGATTTATTACTCATATTTTCAATACAGCAATTATCTGCTGAACCATCATTATAAAAGACTGCTGAGGCTACAAAATTTTAATAAATGAAATAAGAATTCTTCAGTCACAAATTACAATTTTATAAAAATAAATTTATATATATTCTTTACTTGTTTATAATAATATTTTAATTAGTAATAAATATTATTGATCTTTGAACCATATTTATCTACAATTTAAGTTTATTTATAATGTTACAAATTATAAATTATAAATATTACAAATGATTAAATCAATAAAATCCAGGAATTGAGAATAATAAAGTGTTAAAAAGATTAAATTTTAATGAATTACATTAAATTTTGAATTCATTTAAATATTCACTAATCAAATTTAATTTTTCTGATTATAAGGATGTATAATCTGAAATCATATTATAATTAGTAAATTTATAAAGAAAATCTTCCTCTTCTCTTTGTCAACTTACCATCCCTCAGGACTCCCATAGGTAGCTCATCGGATATTCCAGCATATCCATGAACTAGGACAACTGTATCCTTAGTTGGATCATGCTGGCTCTCCCTCACCCAGCTCAGAGGTTCTCCTTTAACTTCTTCAGCGATATTCCTGAAGCAGATAAGATGAATAAATTACTAATTGACTAATTACTAATTACTAATGGTTAAGATACTAATTAAAAAACTGCAAACAAATTATGCATTTAAAACATTGTATAACAATCAATAAACAAATAATGAATATATATACATTCTACAGAGATAATGTGTATGTATCAAGTTAAATCAAACATATATATATATATATATGTATATATTGTAATAAACAAAATCAGGTTTAAAGTAAATTATAAAGTTATATTTTCACCATATTGACATAGAATATATTTTAATTATATCACAAAGCTCACCCTTGTCCATAAAAATAATACTTGACATCAGGATCTGGACATGGATCTCGGTTTTCGCCTCTCCTCCAGATACAATCCTCTCTCTTCATAACTGTAGTCCCATTGCCCAGGGTCAGTGCCTCCATAATCCCGTCTCCATAGATACCTTTGTAACAAAAAAAAAAAGAAAATTATTAATTAGTTTCAGATATAAACAATTTAAGTAAGGAAGCAAAAAAAGTGAAATGGAGGTGGGATGTCTTGAGTATTTGGCAATGGGTGGTCGAAAAGTTTACAGAATAGTCTCCAATGAGAAGATGACCATACATGAAGAGAAAAGTGAAGAGAAAAATTACCCACAGATTAAGAACACAATAGTAGAAAATTTCCAGGGATAAAAATTGCTGATTCAGAATGTGAATTTTAAAGAATTATTTTATTACTTTATTAAAGAGCTTTGAAGTTATAGTTTAAAAAGACATTAAAAATAATATATTTTCTTCTTTGTATTGTAAATCTTAATACGTGATTTGTACCTTATTTTATATTTTTATTTGCATTTTCATATCTGGAATTGAATAATTATATTTTTAAAGCTGAATTTCATTTTAACTTCTTTGGAAGATCCTTTTGTCATGAAAGTTTATGTAAATGAAACTATATTTTTATTGCTAAATAATATGAAATCAGATAAATTTTAGTGTAACTCGAATGACAAAGAAAGTTTATTTTTTAAGACATTTATTGTATAGAAATTTTATAATTGTATATAATCTTCTGTTATACATTAAACACAATAAAACAGAATTTAATTTTTGGTAATAATATTAGAATACAATAAAAACATCCGATTTTTATTGTTTAACTAATTTCCAAGACTGCTTTGCATAAACTAATTGCAAGACATGTGGGATCTTATTTTTTACTGGGTTGTCAATCTTGTTAAATATTTTCTTTTTTGTGTTGTATATTTTAATGAGTGATTTGTACATTATTTTATATTTTTTATTTGTATTTTCATATCTGGTATTGGATAATTATATTTTTAAAGCTGAATTTCATTAAACTTCTCTCTGAGATCTTTTTTTTGTCATGAAAGATTATGTGAATCAAACTGTATTTTTATTGCTAAATAATATGAAATCAGATAAATTTTAGTGTGACTCGAATGACAAAGAAAGTTTATTTTTTAAGACATTTATTGTATAGAAATTTTAGAATTGTACATAATCTTCTGTTATACACTAAAAACAATATTTAATTTTTTGGTAATAATATTTGAATACAATAAAAACATACGATTTTTTTTTCACACAGAATCTTTAACTAATTTTCAAGACTGCTTTGCATCAACTAATTCCAAGACAAGTGGGATCTTATTTTTTTTTTGAGTTGTCTAACTTTTTAAATGGCTCATTATCCCAAAAAATTGTAGAAAATCCAATTTATGTTTATTTATGAGACTCAAGAATGAATGTGGTTCTTTCAATCAACCATCTCTCCAAAACAGACTGAGGTCCAAAGATTGACTTAGGCCATTATATTTTTCAAATTAACCATCATAGACAAAGTTTGCCCCTCTCCCCTCCAGACGCCCCAATCCCAAGAGTTTTCGTAAATAAAATAGTTGTAGGTTATGAAGAGATGAAATTATTTAACAAAGTTTCAGATGATGTTATTAATTCGATAAAAAGGGGTTTGTACCATATGCTATATGATACAAATGATGAGCAGTTCGAGCAAAGTTTACCAGAGTAATTTATTCGCAATTATAATCATGTATATATTATTCTATTTTTTTTTTTTTTATTCTGTTGTTTTTTTCTTCTTTTTTGCAGGAATTTACTAATTTTTTTTACTTATTTATGTTTTACTCATTTTTTCAAAACTGAAATTATTTTCTGTTTCCTTTTTTTAACTTGAAGAATTTTTCTAAATTTTAAAATCTTAAGTGTTATGTCACCTATGTCCTCCACAACAGCCCAATTCAAGAACGGAGGTGTAGCCTTGACATTGTAAGAACTCGATGGTTATCTAACAGCAGTCATGCAAGAGCACCCTGACGTAGGCTTCCTTAAGACTTTGCTCAGTCCAACAACTGTTTCAGTTGGCTTCGCGCGAAGAAACACGAGATGGACGGCAAATCAAGGAGCAGATACTTCCCAAAGAGGAAACAACTCAATGAAATATTACGTGTAACAACGAGAAACGTTTTGTAAATTAATCTTTGTATGTAGTTCTCTCAGTGCAAGCACAAAAACAATAAATCGGGATAAATTATGGTTTTCGAAACATTTACATAATTTTTGAGTGTCGAAACACATTGCCAGTTTAACGGCTTTGTACACCATTATCATTGATTCGAGGTGAACCTGTAGTTGAACTAGATCGTGTGCGAAAGCATATTATTAGGATACTAGTGAAACATTGCAAGAGTAATTTTGACCAAATAGGAACAGTTCAGTTTAAGAAAGAACTATATAGAGAAGCTTGTAATGTTCATTCAGTAGAACCTGTCTTATCCAGAATAATGCACAATTTCGGATAACAGATAGTTTAATCAGATAATCGAATTTTCTGGATATTAATTTATTAAACCAGACATATCGTCACTTTTCATTTTATAATTAACGCAAAATTAGGGATGTTGGAAAAAATCGGAATATTTATCGACATATTTTTAAAAACTTGTCGATATTTTTATACTAGTACATATGGCGGTTACTCATTAATGATTTCTAATAAAATCGTGTAAATTATAAATATACATTTTTATGAAATTCGATTACACAGGCCTACAACCCAACATGACAATAAATTTTGCCTGATTTTTGTTTACACCCAATCGGGGTGTCATGGAGTGATGTGATCTTCCATTTGCTTTTTATTTTTTTCTCTTCTGTCCTGATGATGCTTGATTTGTCGAAACTTTGACGTTTTTTTTCTATTTTTTGCCTACATTTTGGAGACACAAGGCTGTGTGGTTGGAAGTTTTTCAATTATAACCAGTAATTGATTAATTTAACTGAGGCATCTACAACGATCCATCGATTTCTCACAAGGTAAGCTCTGACAAGCAATTTGCTCTGACTTTGCTCTGATTTTTGTATTGATATTTATTTTTTTTAAAAAAAAGGTTAATAATACCTACAAGGAGTGCTATAATATAATATTTATTTGGGATTATAAATATAAAAATTAATTATAGTAATCTTATACCAGACTGAAACGACAAGAAACCGCTAGACGTTTCCGATTACTTCAGCACTTACTAGACAAACTCTCTAAACTTCCAATTAATTACAAAAGACTCATATACATGGCTATAATAAGGCCTATTTGGACTTCCAGAATTGAGAGTTGGGGCTCCACTAAACCATCGAATTCCTCTCGTATCCAACCCTTACAATCCAAAATCCTTCGTAAAATACTTTGTTACAAATAAAACCATCCATAATGACAATGTTTCTTATGTTTCAGATCTGGCCCAATCCAGATACCTATGCTTCCATAATAAACTTCAGAACCATCCGAATCCTCTCGTTTCTAATCTTGCTTCCTCTTCGATTCCTGTTAACCCTCCGAGGCGTCTGAAAAGAAGATGGTGACCTGATGATCTTCTTGTGTAAACATATTATTAGAGTGTTAGCACTAGCGGATCCAGGATTTAATTTTGGGGGGGCTTCAGCCCGAAAGATTTTTTTTTCATATACATATAACGATAATTAATTTGAAAAAAAATAAAGAAATTAATTACCTATATGAAATGGTGTTTAAGTGGTTCTTGAAGTCCTATTAAATGTAATTACACGAACAAGAATACATTAAGAGATAGTTTTTAATATTTTTTTCTGTAAAACATGGTTACATTTTACCATTTTGGGGAGGGGGGCTTCAGCCCGAAAGCCCCCCACCGTAGATCCGCCTGTGAGTGCTAGTAGTGGATAGTTTCTCAACAAATTTTTTCACGTCATTATATCCATATGTTAAAATTTATCAAGTGTATTTCTTTAATACAGTTGTAAAGATCATTAAGAAAAAAAGTATATATATATATATATATATAGTAATAGGTTTTAATGATTATTAATCCAATTTTGATGTTCTTCTTTTCTTTGTATTGAAGACTTTAATTCAATTTTCTCTAAATAAGTCTTAAGGGGGGTGCCCATCCCCCCATGGTCGATGGCACAAGAACCTATTCCCTCTCCCCTCCCAAGATATTTCATTGCTTATCCTTTCTTGAAAACAGAGCAAGGGAAAGTAGAATTAGAAAAATCATAGATCACACACAAATATAATTGCTGCTGTCTGTTCAATGTTTATCTCTTTCCCTTATTCTTATTTGAAAATTATCATTCCGAAAATTCATAGCCCCGTTAAAATGTGCCTCCCTCGAAAATTCAAAAACCCGTAAAAATATGGCTCCCTCAAAACTTATGATAAAACCCGCTTCTGGGCACCCCTGAGTCTTTATGATAATAAATGTTAATACTTTTATAGATTTTTGGTATTTCATAATATAGATTTTCTTTCATTCTCTTTTTAAGTTTAAGCCATACAATTAAAGTTTTCTGTTTCTAATTTTTTTTTTGTAAAGTTTACAAAAATTACTAATTTAGTAATGTTAATGTTAAGATTAAAAACATCGATCTATATTTTTTAGTGATATTTCGATATATTTGATAACTATTGATACCACGAGTACCGATATTACGGTTAAATATTTACACTAACACACACACAAACATGTGTATAATATATTAACATTAAGTCTCTACACTTATTGTTAGTGTAAGTGATTGAATAATAAAACCATGAGAACTATTCCTTATGCAACACTGTTTCACTTTTATTACTAAGGTCTACAACGTGCGTGTATAACGTATGCTCACAGCAAACTGATCAAAAGAGACAAACCTGAACCGTGTCGAAATGATTTTCGAGGGAAAAAAGAATTTTCGTCAATGCAATCCTGTTCAATGAATCATCCGAAACACAATGACAATTATGTAATTAATGTAGCTTTAATGAACGAGAAATACGCTATAGAGAAAACAAATGTTTTGGCCCGTGGGTCGATAATTTTTTAAATCTTATGTTTTCCTAGATAATTAATCTAGAAAAGTTTCATACGAACCATTTAGTAAGAAGAAAAATAGAACA